CTAAACCACCTCAAAGGAAGATCAAAAGAAAGATCTGCAAAAGCAGAAACGGCCAGATCTCCTCCAAGAAAATCTCTTTCAGAAGGGTCTGCGTTCTCATCAGAGGAACTTCCTGACATTTGCCTTCTAGGCTCTGCAGGGCCCAGTCCCCTAGTTTTAAACCCCCACAATGCCGATGGCCCTCCCAAATGGCAAACTGGAGAGATATTACCGCCCAGAAAGAATCTCTCAGGTATGGAGGAAGACATGCTCAAGAATCCTCTTCCAAGTGGGCAAAGAACACCGCTGGATACACCAAAATTTAGGGCAGTACGATAAAATCCAAATGGGACAGCAAAACGAAGATCAAGCTCCTGTTAATATAATCCAGGGGGCATTGTCAGCAAGGTTAAAAAACAGATCAACCTAGCATAATCCATACAAACAAAAACTAATCATTTAGGAAACCCGAAGCCACAATGACACACACAAGAAGCAGAAACAAGTCAGATACCATAAGCAGTCCATCGCTACGTTCCCCAAGACACTGATTTATTAAAATTTATTATACTCAATGTAAATTAACACACAGATACAGAAACATAGAAATAAGATGCTAAACATAACTTGCAAATGAAAAACAATCGAGTAATGCAAACTAGTACAGCAACAACTTATTTTAAGCCGCAAGACCCAAAGACAATTTGGAGAGTTCCTTAGTTTAATCGACTCCCATGTTCCTTCTCTCACACCTTAGTTTGACTGGCTCCCATGTTCCTACTCTCACAACAATAATGTTTAGATTTTATTCCGCTAACACCTTAATAGAATCACGAGACCACAAAGTCAGAAATTGCAGAAACATGCTGCTGCCATATGCATGCCGAAGGGTCAACGCATGTCAACTAAATCTCCCACATTGGGTTTAAAGTGAGTGTGGCTTTCATTCTAAATCATAAATATAAACTGCCAAAGTAAAATCATTTAAGTTGAACAATAAAGAGAGAAGGCCACATAAAAAGAAAGTCACAAGCAAAAGGTTTCCAGTAACAAAACCCAGCACAACTTGTATACCACAATATCAATTGACAGATGTGTCAACAATATGACATAATTATAGAATCATGAAAGTGGAAAAAAAAAAATATGCAATCAATAATGTTATCAAACATGAGCAAGCAAAAACAAGAACAAGAATAAGTATTAAACCTGTCGCAAAAATCTTAGGGTCCGATTATCTGGTGCAAGGCCGCCAATTTGCGTGGTTGAAACAAAAGCATATCCTCGAGTTGGCCTCAGATGAGAATTTCTCTTGTCAAACCTAAATGTATATTTTAAAGACGAAAGAAAATCATGTCCAAGCTGCCTCCGTATGGACCTGGATGACATTTGTGATGGATCTGTCAAGGTTCTCCATGCAAGATTGTATCCCAATTCATGATGCTTAGATGAAAATAAGCCGAGAGACAGCCCAAATGATTGTTCTTTGTAAGATGAAAATTTTAGCCAGTCTTGGGATAGTAGTGATACCCGTACAGTCAGAGGACTAACTAGACCTTTAAATCTGGGCAAATACACACCGGCACTTACCTCTGCCGAGCGGTCAAAGCCATATGCCAAAGAAGCATCCCACAAATCACCATACCCAAGAAAGTTTTTGTACTTGAGAGATCCTTCAACTGATGAAGATTTAGCCTACAAAAGCGTTATAGAGATTTAGAAAGAATATTTGAGAGGCAGCATACTCCTCAACACACTGGCTCGCATCATATTAAGAAGCTTAGCTCATTAAACAAAGATCCATTTTAAAATTGTAACATCACAAAGAGACAAACAAACCTACTGTCACTTGGATATAATATATGTGTACTATATAGTACACCATAGAATAGCCAAGGCAATTGCACAAAAATCACTTAAATGGGATAAGCATATCACATCATGCCTATCCACTAAAAACACGTCAAGTATGTTTAAGAACCATGTAAGACTTTCTCCAACTGCGCAAACATATTGTTTATACTTTCAGTAACACAATTCTCATTCTCATTTTTGAAAATTTCTATAAAACTTAACATTTACATGCCATCAACCACCTTATCGGATCATAACATCCTAATATCACCAATGCCACATCAATGCCTACACAGCACAACCTTTTCATAACGTACATTTAATACAGTTCCCTCCAGATTTCTCCCAATTTTCCTTCTCCTTGCCCACAATTTTCTACTAAATCAAACACGCCATTACATTAACAGAAAATTTAACATTAAACTAAACCTCAATTTAACCAATACGCATAATTCATGCATAAATAATTAAATACCTCTCCCTTGGTGAAAGTTCCGATTTGACCAGAGAGTGGACTTTTTGTTTCAACAACTTCGATGATCACATTCGCCGTACCCGGAAGCTCCGGTGGACCCGCATCGAGCGTGATGTTGACCGAGTCAAAGCACTCGAGCTCCTGCAGTTTGTAATTAACAACACTGGCCGCCTGGATTATCTCTTGCATTGACGTGGCATTCTTGATCGCCTCCAGTTCCTCTTCGATTAAATACTCCTTCGTCTTAGTATTCCCTTTCACAATCACGTCGTGCACGCGCAGCGGAACGGCATCGCTTTTCATCCGGCTTAACAATTTTGCCATCTTCTCCCTCGGTGGGGCTGGTTCGGATTCTTCGTCGAGATCATCGTCTTCTTCTTCCTCGAGGTCTTCTTCGTCGTCGTCGTTTTCGTAGCTAGGGTTAATTGATCCGGGTTTTTGTGCCCGGTCGGGTTTCTCGTCCGGGTTAGCCATTGATGTAGAGAGGCGCAAATGAGGAGTGAAGTAACTATCGACTGAATAGAAGTTAAAAACAGTGGATTTTGGGTGAGCACTGAGCAGTTAACAGGGAGGGCAACTGCAAAGAGTGTTTCTTTTTCTTTTTAATTTAAGACTTTGACGATGAGATTGGTATACGATACTTTCATATATTAACTTCTTTTAAACCCCTAAATTGTTTAATTTAAAAACACTCCTAAATATTTTTAAAAAACTATAAAAACACCACAATCTACATTACCAGATTCCGGCACCACTGCCAGAAAATGGCCGGTGTCCGTATTTGAGGTGGATTGGGGGTGTTTTGTTAATTTTTAATATTTATATAGGGGGTGTTTTGTAAAAAACAAATATAAGGGGTATTTTAGAATTTATAATCTACATCGTAATACCCGCCCAATTTAACTTTTTTTGTAACTTTTTATTTTTAATTTAAGACTTTGACGATGAGATTGGTATACGATACTTGGTTTTTTTCAAGATGTCCTTGTATTTTACTGTTTTTTTCGTATTGTCTATATAAATAGAGTAAATGACATGTTCCCACCTAAGGTTTGACTAACTGGCAAGTTTTCATCCCTCGTTTCATAAATTCTAGATTCTCAACCTTATATTAACAAAAAATCGTTTAATATAAAGATCAATGGATAAAATGATCATTGCACAAAACAGCAGAAAAACTCTAATTTAAACCCAAATTCACAAAAACCTATCATTTACTCTTCTATTTGGTTGGGAGGGGATGGTGAGTCATTGGGAGGAGAAAATAAGCCAGAAAGAAAAAAGAAAAAAAACACCAAAACAGCACAAAACACTTTAAAACAATCACCAATTGCAAAGACACAACCAATTCTCCTAGTCAACTCTAAAAAAATTCCAATTTAAACCCAAAATCACAAATACCTACAAGAAACCTTAGAGGACATTGCTGGCGATTAGAGAGCTAACATGGTTTGGCTTGTTGTGGCTTTTGAAGATGAGAGATCGGTGAGTCTACAAGTGGTGAGAGGGTGAATTTTGGTGATTAGGATTGGTCGGATCGGGAGGGATGGATGCACAAATCACGAATCGCCTAGAATCCAACGATTGGCAAGGTCAATAGGGAAGGGGTAAGTGGGTTTTGGTGTGTGAGACTCAGGGCGAAGTTTGGTGATGACAAGGAAAGCCTTGGGGCTTTTGAAGATGAGAGACCGGTGAGTCTATGGGTGGTGAGATGGTGGATTTTGGTGGTTAGGATTAGTCGGAATGGGAGGGATGGATGCGCAAATCATTAATCGCATAGAATCCAACGATTGGCAAGGTCAATAAGGAAGGGATAAGTGGGTTTTGGTGTGTGAGAGTCGGGGAGAAGTTTGGTGATGACAAGGAAAGCCACTGTCGCTAGAAAACGACAGAAAAAGCAGGTGGTGATGTTTGCTATAATGTGCACCACCTCTCACAAAAATGTGCCCTCTATTAATTTAGGGGTTAAAAAGGAATTTATTAATTTAAGGGCTAAAAATCATTAATGATGGTGGTTTAAGGGTAGGAGTATGAAATTTATAAAACTAGTGGTTACACTTGCTAGTTTGCCAAAACTTAGGTGGGAGCAGATCTTTTACTCTTTACTTTTTATTCTAAAAAAATTACTGCCACGATTTATTTGGGTAATTCTATAATAAGTGGTAAATATTAAATACTGAAATGAAAACTATAACAAAATTATTCTATACAACGCTATTGAGATTTTGGATTTTATTTTGCTTATATTAGTTGATTTTGTTTCAGTAATAAGGAGCCCTATAGCAAACTCCCGCAATTAACTCAAATTTTCCCAACCCTATTTTTTTTTGTATTTTTAAATCATAAAATAAATGAAAATATTATAATGTACCCAATAATTCATCAAAATTTAATTAATTTTTTTAGGTGATATTTTTTATTATTAAGTAATGATATGCTAATCATCAATAACAAATTTTCGGTTATTATAAATATTAAAGTATTAATTGTAACTAACGTGTAGGCGAGCTAGAAATGATAATACACCCATGTTGATGAATACACGTGTCACACATCGTATGTGGAGCCCACAATGTGAATGTAGGGCGCGCGTACAGAGGAACGTTCCCCCAAATGTGCAAGCAAGCGCCACTATCACAAATTCAAAATCTGGTCACTGTCAGGTCCAACTCCAAACTCACCGATCTTCAGTCACCTCCGTCTCTCCGGAAATATGGCCCAAAACGACACCGCCTTCAACAGTTTCTTCTCTTCTTTGATTCAAGACATTAAAGCCTATTCCGGCACCGATCCTCTTTTCCCTTGGCTCCGGTATGTCAAAAACGTCGTCGTTTTCATTTATTTCTTATTATTTTCTACAACTTTTTTTTCATTTTCCTTGCATTTATAAATTCGTTGATTAAACATGTTAACAGAGGCATAAAAAAAATGAAGGAGAAACTACCTTCAAATTTCTTGAAGGAGAAACTGCCTCGGTTTCTGCAGAAATGCACTCAGACTTTTGAGTCCGAGCGGCGTTACAAAAACGACATGCGCTATCTTCGCGTTTGGTTAGAGTTGGTAATTCGAAAATTTTCATTTAATTACTTATTATCAGTAGAGTTTTTTTTTTTTTTTTTTTTTTAAATTATTTTAGTGTAATCTCTTTTGTGTGTGAGACGGAGTAGATGGATTATGTGGATGATCCGAGAGGTCTATTAAGAACCATGGAGGCGAATCGCATTGGAACAAAACGTTCTTTATTCTATCAAGCATATGCTCTTTACTATGAGAAGATGAAGAAATTTGAGGAGGCTGAGAAAATGTACCACCTCGGAGTGCAGAAGTAAGTTCGGTTACATTTAAAATATTTATTGATTTTTTTTTTAATAAATAAATCTCTGTCATTTTGTAATGTTATTATTACTTTACACAGTTTTGTAAGCTTTGTTGAGCTTTTTTTTCTCGAATTATATAATCAAACAATTTTATTCTTCATAATATTACAGTTGAATACTGAATGTCTATGGATTACATTTTACTAGGAAAGCGATGAACAAAGCATCTAAAAAGATATGATTACATATATATCTGCTTAAATGTTTGGGATATTGGGGAAAATTAGACTAGCTTAATTTATTCGGTCTTTATTAACTGTTTGAATAGCTTTGCGGAGCCTGCTGATGAGTTGCAGAAGTCTTTTGAGCAGTTCCTTCATCGGATGGAGAGGCACAAGAAGAAGAGAATCCGGGTATTGCTTTTGTTTCTTCTGTGTAGAGTGCTTGTGTTTATTGGCCAAGAATTTTTAGTTATCTAATTATTGGTAGATGTCCAGCAGCAGGAGGAACGGAGAACTTCGAGGAGGGCTTTGTCTGATAGGAGCACCCTTGCTCATTCCACTGAGACTGGAGAAAATAGTGAGAATATAGGCAGAGTTGAAGGATCTTTACCTGAAACTCTTCCTGAAAATAGAAATGCAGAAACCAAGAAGATTTTGAAGGAAAGCTCCCAGAATGCAAAGCAATTAAGGGAATCTAACCATGATAGGGTTTCAGAGAAACTGGGCAATATTGGACTAGGTAGTATGAAAGAAGAACATACTGGTAAAACTGGGAGTAGAAGTACGTCCAGGCAGCAAGGGAATTCTAAAAGAGAAACTGATGAACCTACAATGTTTGCAGGTGATGATACAGTTGTAGTGAAGTTTGTTGATAAAGCCATTGTTGGAAAATCTCAGACAGAAGATGCCTGCCATCATGGACTGGTGGATCCTACGATAAACATGAAGGAGGCCATGAATGCCATTAACAACATGTTTAGAGAGCCTTTAGATACAGCTCCACTTGGAAGAAGATCACGCAGAAGCCAGAAGAAAGAGGATCAGGGTTTGGAAAATGGTTTTACGGTGTTTGTAGATGACAATTTGGATACAGGAATTGAATCGTTTCAGAGAAAAGAAGAAAAAGGTGTTTCACTAATGCAGCATGATGGAGCTGAAAATTTTCAGCCTCACCAAGATCCATTCACAATATTTGTTGATGACGAAGAAAGTGATAAGATTGGAATCAGAAATGATGACAAAGAGAACCTAGATCTGAATGAAATGCAAAATGTGACACGAGGCTCCAGTTCATCTTCACATGTAAGTGGTTTTGTGTTTCCATGTCCGAAGGATCTTCCATCTGAAAGTTCTGATGAACAGGATGCAGGGGGCTCACCTCGAGTAAAGCTTCGAGAGGATACAGTTGTTCATAGGTTTGTTGGGTCCACCATTTTAGATGAGCCCGAGGTGGAAAATGTCTGCCACCATGGCTTAGTAGACCCAACAATCAACTTGAAGGAGGCTATGGCCGATATCGATAACATGTTTGGCAAGCCAATAGATTTTGTGAGGGCTAAGAGACCAAAGAAGCAAGAGAAACAACCTGTTAAAAACCCAGATGCTGGCGGGTTCTTGATACTTGCTGATGATGACTTGGAACCTCAACGTCAGGCCCCGCCAAAATCATCCAAGAAAAAAAGTGATTGCGATCTATTTGAGCCAACTATGTTTACAAAGGAGGCCATGGATGACATAAATAAGATGTTTGGAATGCCATTGGACTTCTAAGAGAAAAGGTAAGTTCTACTTGTCCTAGAATCAGGTTAATATCTCTGATATTTCAATTGGTTATTCATTATTCTGCCATATCTTTTTGCCTCATATATACTTAAATAGTTAAATTCATGTGAAAATCTGACATTTTTTGTGAAATTATGTCCTAATCCTGAGATTATTTTATCCCCTAGGAAACAGCATAAGAAACAAACAACTAAACATATAATCTTATAAGCAAGTCAAGGAAGTGAGGCAGTGAAAGAAACAACTCTGCACAGAATTAACTTTAATTAAGAGATGAAACAAAATAACAAAACAATTTATTAGGCACCATTAAATTGGCAAATTAGGCAACTAAACAATAAATAAAACTGAAACAAAGATTACTCAAGGTTCATTGAAAACTGGTGGTAAGTCTATTCTTGAGTTGTGGTAGAGCAATTTGATGGACGGAAAGCCAGGGGGCCTGCAGCATAGATCACAGCCTCATAACTCTTTCCAAACAATTTCTTCCTCTCATATCGAAGCGGGGCACCGTACATTCCATAGTTAACATTGGATAGGAGGCTGCAATTTTCAAGAGGAGATGACACAAGTTTAAGACTGCATGATTGGAGGGGATGCTCCACCAAACAATTATTCATCTTGAATCCCTCAAGTTGTGCATAGAAGTAGCCATTGTCATTTGTTTGAAAAGACTTGTAGTAGCTGACTTGATCCTTTTCATTTTTGCAGATAACGCTAACTTTTGCCGAAGCAATCGTCTCAGCCTCTGACAAAGACCATGTTCCATAATGTTCACAACTCTGGCAATACACCATGCCTTCTACAACCACATCAACTTTCCTCTCAGTTGCTGTTGCATTTTCATGAGCAGCCATGGAAGGAAAGACCAACGCAAGGAACAAGAGCGATGAGACCACAATTCTGTTGCTTGCCATTTTTTCTCTGGGTTTGGAATTTTGGAGATGAATGCTATGGGAATGTTGGGATGGACACTGGATTGAATGGTATATATATATATGGTACTGTTTTTGTGAGCTCAAATTTTGTAAGTTTTGATTTTAAGGGACGTGTAGGCTACTAAACTACATGTCAATGACTCGAAATCTGAAATTTGTGTTTCTACGTGAAGGCCACTTCCTTTATATTATTGAATTATGGTTGCACCTAATCATTCTCTATTATGTTTATGAAAGATTACATAATCTCTAACGATAATGGTATTCTCTATTATCATCTTTTTTAAATGATCGTTTTCAAAATTTGCATGAAATTGGCCAATAAAAAACAGGCCTGCTTTCTAAAGTATTAATATTTCATATTTGGATGGGAAAAAACCACAAATCTCCCCCATTTATAATAGAAAATTCAAGTTTCTCAAAGCATTCGTTTCTTTTTTTAATCAAGCGTCAGTTTATGTGTACCTCGACTAATCCTCAGGAAAGACTAGCATAATAAGCAAAGCAACCCACCACTATAGTCCCTTACTTAAATCATGGATGCTCAGAGGAGGAATTGAACTAGAGACTGTACACATTGTATTAAAACCTGAATTGGAGGGCAAACTGTTTTGTTGTCCGGGTCACGGGTCAACCGGTTGGATCGATGGCGTCAGCGACAATTTTATTTTTAAAAAATTACATATTAATCCCTTAAATTTTAATATATTACAAAAATTCCCCTAAAAAGTTCAAATTAATCCCTAAAATTTTTGCTTACTTCAAAAATACCCTTAAAAATCACCAATTAATCCCTAAACTTTTGACATATATACAAAACACCCCTATAAAATTAATTAACCCTTATAATTTTGAAATATTACAAAAAAACCCCTAAGACCTGAACCGGAGTACCGGACCGGAAAAGCTGTCGAGTCTCAATCTGACTGGCCGATCCGATCCGATTTTTAAAACAAAAACTGTACGTCTATCTATACTATCCTCAATACGCCTTAACCATCTAAGCTACTCACATATGGGTCTCAAAACATTCTTCAATTAATGTTCATGATAATAGTTAATCAACCTACCAATAATTTATTTTTAGTTAATAATTATTAATTAAACCCAATTAAAGTTGAGAAAATGAACTTAAGGGTACCAATTAGTTCATTAAATTGCATGTATTAAGATTGTACAAAACTTGTGTCTAGTGGTACAAGTGATATTGGGAAGCAACCGGAGGAGATTTAAGTAAAAAAAAAATATCCAAATGCTTTAAGAGATGAGGACCCCCTCCAAAGAATTGAAATAATGAAGATAACTCAAAAAAGGAAAGAGCTTGATCAATTGCATTGACTTCGATCTTGAAGCATAAAATAAATGTTCTGCACATGCAAAGCCGCAATTTTAATGAGCCCTTTGATCTTCCCAAATTGTATTTGTTTATTAACAAAAATTCCTGCCACCAAATCAGTCTTATCTCAAATCTGATGCGTAAAATAAATCAATGGGCAATTACTGATCTCTCTACTTTTCAAACTTTAGTTTTCTATAAAACTCAATCATGGTTGAAACAGTCCATATTATGAAGACAAAGTCCTGAATAGGAAAGGGGCAGAATGAGAGTGAGAGAGAGAGAGAGAGAGAGAGAAGAGGCAACAAAGGAAAGACAATTGAAGATTGACCTGAAATTGGTTAATCATTTCAACATTTGAAAAAGTAAAGTAAAAATTGTGTAATGTAATTTTCTTATGCATTTTCACAGACAATTATTTGAAGAGAGAAAAACCAAAACAAGGCAGATTTACCAGATTTCCTCCTGATCTCGGATATGTACAACTAGCATTTCATCGGCCTACAATAGATACAAGCGCTATTGACCTAAAAGGCAATCTAAATTTGAAGCTCTAATACTTAAACAATCTAAATTTCATGTTCTAGACTGCATCTGTGGACAAAATCTCGAGCTCTGCCCACCAAAGAGGAGAAAGCTTGGGAATTGCTCCATCTTGTGTTATTCCAGTAATCTCTCTGAGTCTTGCAGTCACATCTCTCATTGATGGTCTCAGTTGTAGGTTGGGATGGACACAAGATTTTATCAATGATCCAAATTTCTCCAGCTGCTCCACATCAAAAGTGCGTAAAGTTGGATCGACAATACTTTTAAGGGGTTGATTCCCTCTCAAATAATCTGAAGCCCAATCTTCAAGACAGCCATTGTCCACCACGTACGGCATCCTACCAGTCATCATTTCAACCAATAATACGCCAAAGCTGTACACATTACTTTCTAGGCTTGCTGATGGTGTATCTGAAAGCTCTTTGCTAGCTGATCCCATTTCAGAAGCAGCTATCTCATTCCGGAAGCTTAAGTCTGACAATTTGGCTGCATAGTCCTCGGTGAGGAAGACTGCCGAAGAGTTCAAGTTGTTGTGAGCTATTGGCGGGTTCAGCTGGTGCATATGCTCTAGGCAGTAAGCCATGCCCATTGCAATGCGTAGGCGCATTCCCCAGTTTAAGTGCTCTGACTCTCTAACTGCAGGACCCAAATATATTACACTCTAATGAGTTGAAATAACAGGTTATCAAAATCACATGGCAAGTAATACTGATATATATAGTACTATAAATCACTTACTGTGTATATGTTCAAAAAGAGTTCCGTTGGGAGCATATTCAAACACCATCATTCTAGTGAAAGTCTCCTCTTCCTCGCAATACCCAATAAGGTTGACAAAATTCTTGTGGTTCACTTTTGATAATGTGTCAATCTGCAAAATATAACCATAGAAATAGTTATAAATCGGACAGCATTAATACCACTTTGAGATCAATGTTTATTTATAAAGTACTACCTTCTTCCTAAACTGCACTTCCAAATTCTTTGACCAAGCCTTGGCTGATGCTACTTCAACAGAGGCAACAGATATTTCAACTCCACTAGACAATGTCCCTTTGTACACCATACCCATTGGTGAAGAACCAATTACATTACTGAAATCTTCACAAGCTGCTTCAAGCTCAGATCTCTTAAGCTTTGGGACACCTGAAATGAATATTTAATTATGTAAGTATACAGGCACAGACAATATCAACATGATTAAAAATACTAAACCAAGAGGTGGTGGTGGGATAGAAAGATGCAGTTCTGCCGGCTCTTTGCTTGTAATGTACATGCAGGCAGGCAAGCATTTACTGTATAAACTTCTCAATATAATGAGCTTCTAGACTCGATCTAAGTCAAGTGGATAATTTCAGCATGCAATCAGAATTTTTGAAGGAATTTAACCAAATAAGAGAGCAACAGAAAACAATTTTCTAGCTCCCCAATTCAAAATGAAATCAAAGGCCACGACACTCATAATACAAGTGAGGCTACTGATCTATGGACAGATATGCACGGCCATCTCTGTTCTAGGAAATATTGATAGGTGCCAACCATTGAAAATAAATTTCAACCTTCCAAAAGTCTCCTATTTTCAGCCACTGCTTGACTTTTTTCGTTCGATTGATTGGCACCACAGATATCCTTATAAATGATTTTCACCTGAGAAAGAATAAGTACCAGTTACAAATGCTTTCTGAAGCTGTCCGCTCAATCCTGTGGCCCAAGGTTTGACAGTAGATACCTTGTTGCTTCTATAGAGATATATGACAATGATTAAAATGAGAAGCAATATGGTGCCCCCAATGGTTCCACCCAGTATTGCAGACCTTGAAGAACTCCTTTCTGGTTTTGCGGGGCTTGGGAACAATGAAGGAGGTGGGGATGGAAGAGGAAGTGCGGATGGAGGAGGAGATGGGGATGGGGATGGAAAATCAGTAGTGTTATTATCTGGGGGAGCAACAGAAGCAGGTGGAAGTGGAGCGTTTGATGGAGATTGTGCGGGAGAAGGCATAGATCCACTAAAAGTACCATTAAGATTGACCAGAGCTGAATCTTGCAGCAGTCTCCTCCGAACAACATCTTCATTTTGGACACCATTCCTAGCAAAGACAAAAGAATCATCAGCAAAAAGGGAAACACACAAACATAATGTTACTGACCTTAAAAAATTTAAAGAAATAGCATATAAACTCATTACGAGGTCTTACGAACAAAGGAGGCACTTAAGTCTTTAAATTCATGAAAAAAAACTACACAAAACACCTTAAAGGTGTAAGAACAATGCACTGATGAACTATCATTTGGCATGTCATATTAACCTCAAAGGAAGTAATTTTAAATCTACAGAAAACATACCAAGTACTGAATCTTCTGTTGCAAGACGATCCCTTTTTAGCAACATTAGACAGGAGTGCTTCATCTACTTGGGATTCAGAAATCATTTGGAGTTCATAAATTTCAGGAGATAGAGCACCAAGAAGTTCATTGTTGTCCAGTAAACTGCAATGTGAGCGGAAAATTGAATCGTTATACAGAATTAAAATAAGGTGTCTATAGCAAAAATTAACCATTAGATGCTATCCACCTACAGGATTGCCAGTGACTCATTAATGCCAAGATCAGATGGGAGTGATCCAGTAAAGTTATTATAGCCCAAATCTAACACCTCCAATTCCATCAGCTCTCCAAATCCTTCAGGAATAATTCCAGTGAAAGAGTTGTTGCGCAAAATACTGCAAGAAGATACAGAATCATTGCGATGCAGAGAAGAACACAACATAAAAGCCCCTCCCAAAAAAAATAAAAAAACTCATCATGCAACCATAGCTACTTACATAGACTTTATGTGAGTCAATCTTCTGAGCTCAGGTGCCAGTGCTCCTTCAAGGCAAAGATCTTTCAAGTTCCTTCATATTACACACATTCATCTTTAAAATCAATTCAAATATAATTGAAATCCCTTCATTTACATGGAGGAATTCTTTGACTTGAAACAAAACAACATCATTAAACAAACTTTAAGATTTAATAAGATCCATACTTATTGATTACGGTTATTAATTAACTCTTAATACCAAAACTATTCTAATTTTACGTTCTTTTAAGGTCTTATAAATTATTTCACTACATTTATGATCAATTTTATTATCTCCTTTAAATACCAAAAACCAATTACAAATAATTAATAATCAACAGAGTTAGATTCTAAGCACAGCCAACTCTAATAATCAGTAACCGTCCATTGGATTGACTAAAAATAAGAGGAAATGAATAAAAATTAAGCAAAAAAACTAGAAAAAAAAAAAACTCAAATTTTTTCTACTTATTTTCCGAGAAACCAAACAGAAAGCAGAAAAGCAAGTTTTCCAGATAGAAAAGAAGAAAGTTACTCACAGAATGACAACTTTGCCCCCGGAGCATCAACGCCAAACCAGAACACGGATCATTCTCTGTATCACTACTCTTCCAACCCTAAAGCACCAAACGGATCACTCACCACTCTTTCTCTTAACTTCAACAAAGCCAAACCTGCACTCGTAACCAAAACAAAGCCCAAACAAATCACAAACTTTGCTCACTTTGCCGAGAACCAAACAAACCAAAAAAGAAAAAGAAGAAAAACTCATGTCAAGTACCTTCATCATTCAACGACCAACACGAACACAAACTATGAGAAACAAAAAAATAAGCAAAACTAGTAATCCACAGAACTTCCAATTCCCGTCCATCGATCAAAAAACTATCTCAACTTAGACTTTCCCGCGCGTTGAGTCGCCGAAAATGAGTCGAACCGGAGAGAAAACGAGGAAAAATAGCTTAAACTTAGCAGATAGTACGTAAAAACTAAAACTTGAAAGGTATCTGAGAACTGTATTAAAAATTGAAGTCGTGCTGGCGTGCTGGCAAGCTAATTTAGACTGAACATAAGAAACCAGTTGAGTTTTGAAAACGCGTACACTGCCGACAGACCGACTGAAAATGGTATTTTATTTGAAGTATATTTGTTATTAATTAATTGAGGTGTTTTTTTTTTTTTTTTTTTTTTTTTTTTTAAACTGCGGTGACCAAAACGACTTGTCATTTGTAAGTGGGGTGCCGGCTTAGACTTTTTGAAAGTGGACCGAGTCGTTTTCATAGTTGTAAATCTAATCTCTTGGGCCACCTGCCTTGGAGAGTAGTTTGTTTACTCAGTAATTTCAATAAATAATTTGATTATTTAATTATGAAATTAATTATATAATACTTAACATAAATATACAAAATTTGAATCCGTATACTCGATGTATTAGAAAGGAGTCGTTGAATTTTCTTTTTTATATATAAAAAAAATAGAGAGCAAAATAATGATTTTTATTTTTCGAAATTAATTTTATTGTATGGAGATGAAAATTCTCATTTTTAAGAATGATTCATACTCTTTGTGATGTATAATAATTTAAAAATAGTTGAATCCGTAATATTCTTCATGGTGTGGGTATGGGTCAATGTAGCAATAAAAAATCGGTGCAGCCTTCAAATATTTTTAATTTTTAATTTCTTTAATACTTCCAAACAATGTGAATACGATAAATACATTATTTTGTAACAAAAGGAGCCGACCCATTCACCAATTTTGCCACATTCTTCTCACATGTCACTAAATTTAAAAATTATTAAATATTTTCTTGAAATTGTTAAAAAAAAAAAACATATTATGAAATTATTATCAGAAATCCGTGTAAAAATATCAAAAATCTCCTATGAAATGCATCTATTAAATAAATAAAAAATTAAGAAGAAAATGAAATTAATTCTTGTGCCCAATAGCCTACCAATTTGATAACGTAAGATAAATATAACTTCTAAGTTCTAATATTGCATTCATGCACGTCGAGCGAGATGCCCCCTAATAAATTTTAACATTATACGTGACGCTTAGCACGAAGGGCAGGGTTTAAATTTCTAAATACAACTTCTAACATCTTCTCCACGCTAATGCCAAAAAAAAATTGGTGAATATTAATGGTCAAAAAATTAATTAAAAAGATTAGGATAAATATTAAGTTAGGAAGAAGATTACTTAGAATTAATCTGCTAATGCTGACTCGTTATTTATGCAACCGCAATTTGACGTTTATCTATTTCATTTGATTAATTTATTTAATGGTTTCCTTCACCTGCACAGCTGAATTGTCATTAAAATACTAATTAGAAAGGTTTGATTAAGTAATTTCAGTAACAGTGGAGGCTTAATTTTAAAATAATTTCTTGGGGAGAACGGCATGTTCCCACCCAGGTCCGGCGAAACGATACTTTCCCACCCTTCAACTTTAAAAATGACATTTTTTCACCCTTCGTTAGGTTCTGTTAATATTTTACTGAAAAGATATATAAAAAAAAAAAAAAGTTAACTCCACCTAAAAAGTTTAAGAGTAATACTATGGAGTTATTTAAAGTTAAATAGTCTTAATATTTATTTATTTATTTATAATGTCATCAATATCTCATTACTATTATTCCATAATCTACTAAATTTATAATATTTTTTATTTTTATTAATTGACATAAAAAATCAATATTCCTAATTAATTAAATAAACAAAAGAAAAAAAAGATATATTTACACTTGAACTAATAAATAATCGAGTAAAGACTTTCATTTAACTAAATTTTAATTTATAATAAACTAATTATGAAATAAACTATTTATGGGTGTTTTCATTTTTTCAGTCAAACATTAAAAGAAAACACTAGCAGAACCTGACGAATGATGAGAAAGTATCATTTTGAAACTTGATGGGTGAGAAAGTGTCGTTTTGCCAAACCTTGGGTGGGAAAATGTCATTCTCCCTAATTTCTTGTTTCTATCCCAAATAAAGTAAAAGTGCTTTTTAATATTCAATTGTTTAGGTCTCCAATTTTGAATAAGGCATAATAAGTTAACCCACGTGAAACCAAACCAAACAAAGCCCACGTATTATTTTTAATTTATTATTCATATTTCATAGTTTTTGAAATTTCCCAGCTACCACTTTGATTAATTTTCTCAATTTCTCACCAAAATTCTTCTTCTTAGGTGACCGATTTTTTTTTAATTTTTAGTAATTAATTAATTTCAATTGATTTCTATGCCAACTAACAAAATAAATATAACCCATTTCATGACTAATAAATCAATATGAATTTTATTTACATAATTTATTAATTTTATTTGTTAGAAATTGTATAGTTTTTTTGGAGTGAGTTATATTCAAGCTCATTTATCATGGTATCAAAACCACGTTTGTTAGACCTTGACCCTATAAACGAGCGTACTCTAGAGCATGTGATTGGGCTCCCTCATTTATTTTACCCAAATTTGTTTATCATTATTTATATGTATGAAAATTATTATTTTCGGTATTGAGAAATTTATATTAATTAATATAGAAATTGTTAGATTCAACTAACAAATGATAAATCCAAGGCAAGGCATGGTTTAGGGTCATCTCACGTGAAAGAAAAATAAAACCTAATCTTGAAAACGACGTGGTTTGGTTTGGCTTCCATTAAAGACAGAGAAAAAAGATGATAAATATGATGTTTTATGTAAACAAAATTTGTTTGATATTGCTTGTTGTTTTGTATTATGCCTAGCAAAACAAAAATCCCATTATCAAATTGCACTTATCTCTTGCAAATATTTGCAATTTTTTAATCCAATATCAAATTCTTTAGAATGATAACCGTTAGAAGGTTGTGTTTGTCTCACATCGCCGAATTGATGAGTGTTACACTATATATATGGTTGGATTACCTCATTCACTTTTAGGGATGAGTTCTATTTAAGCTCGCTTTATCATACCTTTGCTTTTGGGCTTAAGTTCTACACAAGCCCATTTTATTATGTCACTTGAGGGTTTGAACCCCTAAGTCTCATGGTGGGGCTGGTTTTGAGAATTCAAGAGAATGTCACGACGAGACAAGTCGTTTATCGTTACGATAGGTGTCAAGCGAAAGTGCAATGATGTATGCAACTAAGACATCCTAACAGACCGGTAGACTTGAACCTTATTCCTACATGACTCGATCAATTCGATTAGGCATTCGCCATCTATCTTCATTGTTCAACTCTTTGTCAACACGAAAAACTATTTATGGTGCATATATTTGGTTGGGATTGAAAATGAGTTCTACCTAAACACACTTTATATGCATTTAAAAAATTAGGAAAAAATATATGCATTTTACTTTTATTAATTACAAAAATTATAAATTATATTTATTTAAGAGAAACCAAGGATTTAAAAAAATTAAATTAAATTAAAGCAACAAATATCTTTAATCCAAAAATTGGCAATTGGCAGGAGTATGTGGAGAAACATAAAGCAATAGACTTTGACACTTTGTGTCTTAATAGAAGTCACCGTCATCAACCACAAGCCCAACTAATCCCTTCACCGGGACGCCATTAAACACAAGTGGACGGTCCAGATTTTCCGATTTTAGTGAAGAAGTAAACGTGAATTATTTATATTTTATTGTAAAGGGATAAGTCATTGCTACTTAACATGTGGACTAACTTTATATTATGTCCACGTAATTTATATAATTTTTCAATCAATTCATGTGACAATCTCATTGACAGATTCAACTCATGAACTTACACAGCTTCTTTTAGAAGTTTGGAATTGGGTGCGTTTGTTTTATTATTTTAAATAAGATTTTAAGAATAATATTAGATAATTGAATAAGGGAGTATTACAAGGTAGAATTTATAAATTTATAAAAAAAAACCCTAAGTTTGCTAATTTAATTAAACACTCCAGTATATAAAATGACAAAAACACCCCTATCACTAGTAGTGTCAGATTCCGACCACTGAAAAATTACGTTACGATACAAACCGGTCAGATCTGTGTCATAACGCGTCGATATGGCATTTCCGACCAAATCTACCACGGATCTGGCCAGAAAAGGCCAGATCTACGGCCAGATGTGGCTGTCGACGGCCGAAAAAGGCCAAAGAAGTCCATCTCTGGCCGTCGTTTTCGGTCAACGATGGCCAAGATTTAGCCATTCTTTTCGGTCAACAATGGCTGTCGTTGACGGCCAGATCGGTGAACTACCGGAAAGTTCTGGTCGTGGTGTAGGTCGTTTTATAGATTCCGACTACCATCGACGGTGGTTACCGGAATCTGGCAAGTATGGATTGATGGGGGTGTGTTTGTTAATTTTTAAACTTTTTTTTCTAGGGGTATTTAATGAAATTAATAAACCTAAGAGGTCTAAAAATACTTAAAAATATATAGTAATATTTCTGGAATAATGTGCCAAACAATATTTGGAGAATAGGATTGGGAATATAGGTAGAAATAGGAAGCCAAACGCACCCTTGCTTCTAAACAACTGTCATTACTTCTCCAAAGAGTTACAGACAATCTTTAGCTGTAGCCTGTAAGTTTCAGATTAAGAGTGTTGAATGAATGAAGCTTAAGCTAAAACTTGGAGGCAAAGAGAAGGTCAATTCAAGAACAGTTCTAAGCCTATTCTTAAACTCATAACAAAAGTTATGAACACACAGGAATAGTATTCTAAAATTGCTTCATAGAACCGCTCATCAATAGTTACCTTCTCTAGCATTGTAGCAGTCTCAAGTCAAGAACTCGATGTCAGTTGTATGACCGGCGAACCCAATCCATACCATCACTCTGAGGGCTCTACATATAGCAACTGATACAATATATAAAAGGCAGTCATACTCAGTATCATAATATGCACATAGGAACATTCTCAAACTGGGAAGCCATTAAACTAGATGCACGTCAAAAAAATCAAATAACAAAGGCAATGAGTAACACAGTTTTGAAATTACAGGCAGAGAAAACATCCACCTTCAAAGTAAATTGATATAGAGAATGTTGATGCTTGATTTTTTATAACAACGATTTCGTACGTGTAAAGTGTTAAGAAATTACACGTGAGATGATAATGAGAGTGTTTATGATGCAGTGATAATATGTGTTTGAGAAAACACAAATAAAAGATTAACAAGAGGAATTTTTATAGTGATTCGAATGTTTAGGCGACTCTTATGTCCACTGTTATTTTAGTATTCTCTAACTATTTTTCTGATATCGCCTTTGAGGCATATAAAAATGGAGTAATGTTTCGTTTACAGAAAAAAATAATAATTGAACCTCGAATGCATGTTCAACTCTCGTATTTTTTGTTTCCATGAAGGCAGATGTTCATTTATACATTTGAGCTTAATATAATGATTACTTAGTAAGTTGTTTTGACACATAAGGACCAATGTTCTGAAAACCGGACCAGACTATGACCCGTTCAAGGGTCCGATTTTCGGTTTGACCGGTTGGACTGTATTCTATAAAATTATTTTTAGTCCCTGAAGGTTTGAAATTCATCAAAAACACCCTTATTAATACTCCCTTAAGGTTTGAAATATGTCCAAAACACCCCTATCACGCGAAGAGACCGGTGATGGTGGCGGCAGCGACGATCGACGGCCAATCGAGGTTTGGAATCATGGGGCTTTTGATGTACAGGTGCCGGCGAATTTGATGGTGGTGCTAGGGAGTTCCATCGGCGCCGTAACTCGTTGGAATCAACAAAAGAAATCCGACGGTCATGTAGACCTTAGGTGGATGGCGAGTGACGAAGGCTGGACGACAGCGACTGAAATGGCTGGGTTTTGTCGTGGAGATGCCATCCTGTCTAACGGTTGTGTTTTCGCCCTCGAACGACGCCAGAATCCGACGGGATTTAGCTGCGATTGGACCGCGATTCGGCACTATTCTGACGGTCCAACCGCGGTCCAATCCGGTTTAAATCAAAATAACAATTTTTTATAAATACCGAATTGGATTTGCCGTCGGTTGCCGGTCGAACCGATCTAATCGGACGGTCCGATCCGATTTTCAGAACATTAATGGGGACCCCTCCTTAATCCTGACCTCAAATTGAGATATAATTGATATAAATGCTTTTAATAACAACTTAGGTCAGTTTGGTTTTGACAATTAATGTTATTTTGTCTTTAAGTACTTGCTAAACTTTGATTGATGGGACTGACAACTCATTCTGATTGGTGGTGCTATTGATGGTGCTAATGTCAGTGTAATTTTATCACAATAGGTGCCCCCAAAAGATACCTCAGCAAGACTTGAGACATTTCTATAAGAAATGTTTGTGTTTACTCCAACATAGCCCAGTGAAATGAGATTTCTGCATAAAGTTCAAGATACTTCAATTGTGAGCAAGCACAAAGCTCTAAGAACTTCAAGAAATGGACAGTATGATAATAGACATTCAAGAGCTTTGTTCGTTTCATCTACGAATGCCAAACGCAGGAACACAAGAGTGCTGAAGCTGGAAAAAACTAACAAAATCTGATGGAAAAGTGTATGGCAAAGGCTTGAACTCTCTTCTCCATTGCAAATTTAATCCGATTATCAACATCACAGTAAGAGACCATATCAAAGCAAATCCTAAATCCTTCAATAGTTGGAGCTTGAAGTGATCCTAAAACTTAATTGACTCATCCCATAAATTTATACCTTTCAATGAGCGGATTGTTAAATTCCTAACAAGAAGTAAAAATAGTCCACAAATTTCTCCATCTACTAGATAAAATGCTAGTACTTGCAGCCTCTTTCAACAAATTTCTGCTGCTTATTTTGCTTCAGAAATCAAAATTCCCAGTGCTGCTGGGGATAATTTCCCACTTCATTCAAATTCAAAACAAGATATTTCCCTTATATACTTGAGGGAATTCAAATAAGAAAAAAGAAGAAGGTGCGTCATAGAAGAGGGGTAATTAATAATTTTTGTTTTCATTTTATTTTCAAATTCCGTCAAATAGAAGAAGATATTCTTGGTATTACAGTATCACAAATTCCAGGTGAGGAAACATAGCTCTCAACTGAATAGCACGATCTCTGCCAAATTGATACAGTTCTGGCTGACATCGTTTAGGAGGATGAATAATTATCTTCTCTAGCAGTTTAGCAGTGCAAATCAAGCACATCACAAACTCAAAATAAGGAGGAAACCCGGTGAACCCAATGAATTCGAAGACCCTAAGGTTTAAATCCCTAAGGCCTACACAAGGATGATCCTTGAAGTTCCAGTCCAATCCATTTGGGCACCCTACAAATATTGTCTGCACAAGGTAAAGCAAGCCATATCATAATATGCACATATAAAAAGATGCTTGAAAACATTAATGCAAAAAGAGATTAATTCCATCTTCAGCATTCAACAACAGGAACAACAAATCTTATAGTTCTCAAATCACAAGCAGAGAATATCCACCTCCAGTGTAAATTTGTATAATGAAGGAGATGCTTTCAAGAAAGCGGAACAATGAATGAGGTAACGTTTATCAGCTACACCAATTGTCATCTTCAAATGCTTTAGATTAGGTAATGCAGGAATTTTGCCGAGGAACTTCCCAAGCACCTGAAACATTTTGATAAGGTACAGAAAAGAATAAATCAGTATATGTAATGTAACCATGTAAGAGTACAGAAGGAAAGGAACAGAAGTAAGAAGCAAAATAATTAGAAAAACATAAAATCATACTTACAGTGAGATTAACCAAATTTAGTTTAAGCGTCTGCAGTTGCATGAATAAACTTGAAAGCTGGTGCAGATCACGGATGACATAAGAGAGATAAGGACCCCCAAAAGATACCTCTGAAAGATTTTCAACATTTCCATAAGAAACATTTGTCTTGGGTCCAAAATAGGAAAATGATATGAGATTTCTCGCACAGATTTCAAGGTTCATCAACTTGGTGCAACCACTAAACTGTAAGTGCTTCAATTTGAGAGACGGGCCAGAAATTCTAAAACTTGTCAGATATTGAGTATCTTCAACACTTAATACTTCAAGAAATGGACAAGAAGATAATAAATGTTCAAGAACTTCGTTTGTTACATCCACACATCTCAAACGTAGGCTTGTAAGGGAGCCAAAGTTGGAAACACTATCAAATTGTAATGCAAAATTGTATGCCTTACACTTTTCGTAGCAATCAAACTTCGAGCAGTGGCAAATTCTACCTTTAAATAAGTCCAACTCCAGCCTTTGAACTCTCTTTTCTAGTGCAATTTTAATCCAATTATCAATATCACTGTGAGAGACCACTTCTAGACGAATCCTTAATTCTTCAATAGTTGGATATTTAAGTGATCCTAGAACTCGATCAATCCAACTTACAAACCTTTGCGAATCACGACAAAGTACCTCACATGTAGTAGATTTAAACCGCATCATTTTGTGTCGTCCATTGAAGTCCAAACAACCAGAAAAAAATGTCCACAAATATCTCCATCTACTTGATAACACACTGGTACTTGCTGCTTCTTCTATTGTCAACAAAGACAAGATTTTTTCAAGAATATCATCGGGTAATTTCCAGAAGAAATCTTCCACATTAGCTTCTTCTATTTCCTTCTCTGTGGGCTGCGATATGCAATTGCAATCAGAATCCATGTTGTCTCTTTCTCTATTCATATCATTCTCCCTCTAATCAATATCATACTAAACTCAACGATCAGAGTACAACAAATTTCAGCTGAAAACAGAAAGAACAAAAGAATCCGCAAAATAATATTAACAAGAGCATGAACCAATTTGAAAATTGCAACCAAGTTAGAAGAAAATATCTTCTTTAATAGCACAAATTTTCAGCATCCATTAGGGTTAATAACAAACACAGCCCATTTGGTTTCACGCAGTCACAAGCAATTGAAAATTTAGGGAAATAAGTACATAACCTCCACTGTTAACTTCCACCTGTATACAGATCATCAGAATCATAAAACACCAATGTAATTAACAGATGTAATTCTCCTACGGTTAAATTTCATCAAACAACCTCAATAGCCGCACATATTACTGACCCACTTCCATTATAATTAATTTTATTATTCCAATTCCTAGTTTTAGGGTTTTGATGGTGCTTGTTTTTCTACCCCTTCGGATTTAAATGAATCAGGGTAACTAAATATGAGATTCGAACTTAGCTAAATACAAAACCTTTTCATATTCTGACTATATTTTCTCTGAAATAAACAAAACCAGCACAAATATATAAAGGCCAACGGAAATAAGCAAAACAAAAGAAAAAAACCTGTAACACTTAAATAACACACCACATTTTCTCAAACGAGTTCATGTTTAATAATGAAAATCTGCAATCCTATTCTTCGTGCAGCTTGTGTTGTTCATCAAATTTGTGCTTCTGCTATTTTCAAGGTTCTTATTTTCTCTCTTTTATATTTAAGGGTTTCATTCTCCTTTGCCTTGTATCCATTAGGGCTAATAACAGGCACACCCCATAAGGTTTCATGCTATCAAAAGCAATTGAAAATTTACACAAACAAAACCATCATATAATTTGCCACATTATTTGATATAATGCAATACAAACTTAGTTGAAGACAAAACCTTTGCATTCCCATGAATAAATTAACAAAACCATCCAACCCAAATAAAGGGCAACAAAAAATAAACAAATCTAATAAAGCAGCACATTTTCTCAAACGACTTCATGTTTAACAATGAAAGTTTGCATACCTATTCATTCTTCATGCACTTCTTCTTGTTGATCAAATTTTGAGGTTCTGCCATATACGTTCTCTTCCTCTATTACTTTCTCTTTTTATATGAGGTTGCCGGGTCGGCCAAGTTTAAGATAATATTTAACTTTAAAGTTTAAAAATAATCCAATCTTGAGATATTCGATAATCTAATTTTCAAACCCAATCTTGGGATATGCATTATCTAATTTTCAAACAAACAGTTGATTGGACTTATCAGCATATCAGTTATGATTTATATAATTTTTTAAACAATTAATTTGTACAGTATTTGAAATTAAATTTATAACTGTTTACAAAAGTTACTAACATCTATAATTATATTAACACATTTTTCATAATCATAATAATACTATCAAGAAATAAACAGAGAGTTGTTCTGGTATTTCCTATATTACAAAAAAAAAAAAAAAAACATAACTATATTTTTGTACTTTAATTATAAAGCCATGATCCGTTGTATCAGTGGAGTACAGGGCAACAAGAGGGACACATGATCAAACCGTTGTATCAGTGGAGTACAGGGCAACAAGAGGGACACATGATCAAACCGTTGATGTTGCAAGAATTGCAGGTTCTAAACCCATATTTCTCCGTATGGATCTTGTGGCTCCCGTTACAAACTTCACATAGAACAAATCTCATCCCTCCACATCGATCACAAAAGTTAGGCCCCACCAATTGTAGCTTACTGATGAGATGCTTGAGATCTCCGCTCTCATTGAGCCGTTTGATCTCTTCGGCCCCACCGATATATTTCCCGCCAATAAACACTTTTGGTAGGGTTAAGTTCCCGTTGCACCCTATGATACCGTGCAACTCATCTAAAAATTTACTATCCATCGACAAATCTCGTTCGTCGATAAGTACACGGAACCCGCGGAGGATTGATCTGACGGCTCTGCAGTCTTCATAAGTCTTACGTACAACGTGGAGGCTGGTGAAGTAGACGATGATGCCTTGATGAGGTGGTCTAAAGAACAGATGAGCTGAGGGGATTGAATTTTTATGGGCCCATGAACGGAGGACCGAAGTGGAGATCCGAACCCGGTGAAAAATGGATGGAGCTTTGGGGAATCTGGGTTCGGGTTCGGGTTCTTTGAGGATGGCTTGAATGTCTTTGAAAGAAGAACAAGAGAATGAATTTGATCTAGTCTGAACTCTGCTAGGTGAGTTAGAGGGTGATCTTAACCACTCTGGCCACATTAGAGAGAAAGAAAGAGATGGGTTTTGTTTCAGGGGGAATGAATGAGAAGAGAAACGAAGAATTCGGTGGGTTTTAATAAGATGTGGGACAATGGAGGAAAACCCTAGATAAGGAAACAAAAAGGGTGATTATTTCATTTGTACATCAATGGGGTAGGTTAAGGGTTGCTTAAGAAAATAATTTGATATTGATGGTGGTGAAGTGAGATCTGCTACCCCTGTTTGCTTTGAAAGTTGGTTGATTAATTTTGTTTTGGGTTTTTGAAAGCATCTGCAGAAACACCTAAGAAATAATTTTTAAATAATAATTCACATGTGGAGCGTGAGTTGTTTATAAATTACTCAAAAATCTGTGTGCGTTTTAGCTGTTATTTCCATATTTGTTTGTACCATCTTTATGGGTTTCAACTGATATGCAAAAAAACGACAAGTCGGATTTCGATTTCATGGCGAAGTTTCCGATGAACAGAGTGTTCGAGATTTTGGGCTGTTGTTTCTCTGTTTGGTTGTTGTTGGTGAGAAAAAGGCTGCTGTGGTTTCGTGTCAAGAAACGGGATGAGAGGTTTTCTTTGTGATTTCAATTCAATTTGAAAGTGGGTTATTTTGTAACTCAAGTCTTTGAAATGGGTCTTTTAGTAATTTATCATATTTTGTGGTTAATATTTTTAATCAAAAATATTTTCTACAGTCATATTTATTTAGGTGGGTCATAAGCCCAATTAGGACAGGAAAGTTTGGGTTGGTCTATCAACTCCAGGGCCCCCTTTCCGTGACCTTTGATTTCACCCGTTTGAGTTGGGCCATGATAAAAAATTCTAAAATTGCAGTTGGGATGAGAAATCTGGGCCGTCCACTTGTCCTTTGCATTGTTGGATATTCTTGTTCTGCAAAATGACATATAAGTTTGTCACCTTCTCTTCATGTCCCCACAGATTCACGTGTTCTTCTTCTTCTTCTTCCTGTTCGTAACAAGAACAAATATTCTCTCTGTTTTCCTGTTATATACATTCAATTTTTCTTGAATTTCTCTTAACAATGGAGAAACTAGTGGCGGTTTCGGAGCAAGAAGTGCTTATAAACTTCGTTTTAAACACTAAATGCCGTGCTAACATACGCCTCATTTCACTCTGCTCCACCAATCCAATTGCCTTCAAGGTTCAAACCTCTTCTCCTCACAAGTTCCTGGTTAACCCACCAACTGGAATCGTTCATCCTTTATCCCAGACCACTCTCCAAATCATACTCAAACCTCAAGACCAACTCCCACCCACTTTCCCACGCTCTCCCTCCGATCGTTTCCTCATTAAAACAGCTCTCTTCAATTCTGCCGGCTCACTCAACTCGTTCTTCTTGACTCTCCCTGATGGGTCGACTGAGGATGTTAAACTTAAGGTTGCCTTTGTCGGTCCCTTTCTTTTGAAGCATGCAGTCAGTTGTGGAGACATTGGCGCTGTGAAGAATATAATCAAGCGGCAAAAGTCAATTGTTGCTGAATTGCCGAAACAAGAAACTGAGTCACTCTTCCGAGTGGCAACCAAGCTGTCTAACTCGGAGGATATGGTTAGCTTGCTGCTCCAGACTGGATTGAAGATTGACACACGTGTGAATTTAAATGACACGAGTGATTACTTAAAAGGCTGGAGTGAGCTACACGTGGCAGTGGCGTTTGATCGGACGGAGGACGTTTTAAGTCTGCTGAAAACGCAGAAATATGATTTGTTGGATTGTCGGGACAAGGAGGGGAGGACGCCGTTACATTTGGCGGTGAGTAAGGGAAATATCAGGTGTGCTAAGTTGTTGCTTGAATCCGGTGCAAACAAGGATGCTAAGAGTAAAGACGGCAGGACTGCCTTGAATATTGCAGCAGCTAATGGTGACCGTCGTATGGCGGAAGTGCTAATTGAAATGGGTGCAGACCCCACAATCATGGATGATCGTGGCCGTTCCTGTTTCGACGTTGCCCGTCATAAGGGACAGGTCAGTGGTTAAGAAATTCCTAATATCATTAACATATGATTTTGGATTGCAATTGAGTAAATTTCAAATGGGTATTGTTCAGGTTGAAGTTATGGAGATTTTGGAACGTGGAGAAGCAATATTAATGGCGGCAAGACGAGGGGATTTGGATCGACTTGAAGCATTACTAGATAAAGGAGCCACTATGAACTACGAAGATCAGTATGGCTTGAGAGCTCTCCACGTAGCAGCCATCAAAGGGTACAAACATGTAGTGCTGATGCTGATCGAATTCGGGGCAAATTTGGGGTGCCACGACCATGAGGGCCACGAACCGCTGCACCTCGCCGTGGAGGGTGGCAGCTTAGATACAGTTGAGGTGTTGCTTGACAATGGAGCCAATGTTGATGCCAAAAGCAGAAGCGGCGCCACCCCTCTTTACATGGCTCAAGCTCTGGGCTTCGACGCTATCTCGCAGCTGCTTATTAACAGGGGAGCCTCTGCCTCCGGCTACGGCGGCGTTTCGTGTAAATAACTTGCTACATTTTTCAGAGATTTTGATTCAAATTTGTAAAATTTTTAACTTGTTTATATTGGGATTCTGTTAAAACTTTTACATCACTGTACGAACTAACTGTTTAATAACCGTACCGTACAGTGAAGGAAGTGGATATATAAAGCACTCCACATTTGAAGTTTAAACTCCTCCAACCAAATTAAACCCCGCAAAAAATGCATACTCTTACTCTACCTCTGGCTCTCCTTCTCTTCGCCGTCATAATTCCACCACCGCTCTCCCTCTCCTCCGCCGTCTCTTCCGTCGACCCTTACCGTTACCGTTATCTCAAACCACTTCACCGCCAGAGCTCACCCCAAGAGTTCATCGAACTGGCTCACCCTCTGCCATCTTCTGATCCCGTGACTCCCTCGTGCACTCTCACTATAATCAACCACTCCTTCGGTAACACCATCAACAAACGTCCGTTTACCGCCCCTTACTCTCCACCGTCCTATTGCCCCCGACCATGGTCCCACGTCATCCTCGAGTTTCATGCCAAAGTCAAAGGCGAACAATACGATCGCATTGCCGGCTTGTGGCTCGGCGGCGTTGAGCTTCTCCGTACAAGCACAGCCGAGCCCAGCGAGTCTGGTATTTTCTGGAAAGTTCGTAAAGATATAACGAGGTACTCTTCTCTCCTCGTACAATCAAACCTCAACGTTACAATGATGTTAGAAAATATCGTTAACGATGTGTTTACCGGGGTTTACCATGTTAACGTCAATCTCTTGTTTTTCAAAGATAAAGACGTTACTGGTACGGTTCCGTCTATTCTTTCTTCAGATAATTTCAATTCAACATTGGGGTTTGAATCTGATAAATACTACTATCCACCGGCTGATTTGATCTTACCAATATCAAATAATGATGGTGAAAGAGAAGGATTTTGGTTTCGAGTTGAAAGTGAATCAGATTTAAATTTTAAGAAAATTAAATTTCCACGCAATGCTTATCGAGTCATCTTGGAGTTGTATGTTTCTTTTCATGGAAATGATGAGTTTTGGTACTTGAATCCACCGAATTCTTACATAGAAAAGAATAATTTAACTACTAGTCGTGGTAATGGATTTTATAGAGAGGTTTTGGTGACCATTGATGGGAAATTAGTTGCATCAGAAATTCCATTTCCGGTTATATTTACCGGCGGTATTAATCCTCTGTTCTGGGAGCCTGTTGTTGCAATTGGGGCTTTTAATTTACCGTCTTATGATCTCGATTTGACTCCATTTTTGGGGGTGGTTTTGGATGGGAAAGAACATAAGATTGGTATTGAAGTTAAAGATGCTATTTCATATTGGCTTGTAAATGCAAATTTGCATATTTGGTTAGATAGTGGGTCGTCTGAGGTTAAAGCAGGATCTGGTGAGTATCGCTATCCGAATCTTACTCTTCATACTAATGAAGCTTTCAGATTCCTTGATGGGCGATTAGATGTCAAGGCAAGGAGAAGGACTGGGTATGAGGGGTGGGTTAAGTCAAGTTTAGGTATTTTGACCACCAGAGTTATGAGGCAGTTTAGATTCAGGGGCTTCTTGAGTTTCGACAAGAATGGTACTCATAAGTTGGTGCAACAAAGGATTAAGGTTAAGAGACAAGTGGAGGTGAGAAATGAGAGGGGTATTTTGGTTACTCATGTGATTATTAATAGGAGGTATCCTGTTGAGGTGAAAACTGTTTCTTCACCTGGATCAGAGAAGGATCGTTATGTGCTTGAAACGGACGTGAGCCATTTCTTTAGGGAGCAATGTTTAATTGGGAAGACTCGGAGTACTGTTTATAATTCTCAGATTTCTGGGGGATGGATGGAGGTTAAGGATCATTCTGTGCTGTCTGGTGAAGCAAATACTGAGCAGAGTTACAGTTACAGGGATGAGTTTGGTTGTTACTCTCACAGTGTTGTAGCTAGCAATGGCGAGCTCATAAGTGACAAACCTATTCCTTGTATATCCGCTTTCTAGTTTTAATCAATGTTTGTCTTTGCCACTGTAAGATTTCTAGTTTGAAGTTCTCTAAATAATCTGTGTTGCTTGTTTTAGTGTGTGTGGCATGTGTTTCTGGATAATAATGTATAGCTTTTGAAGCTTCCACTGAAATATTTATGTCATCTGTTACTCTATCTTTAGTGTTTGAGCAGTGTTTAGGTGTTTTACTCAAATTGAATGCTTGATTTTATATGCTTTGGTTTTGCCAATTTGCTGATTGTTAGTGTCCTATTTACTGTGAGCTTTCAATCTGTTTTTGAGCTTGGATAGAATTAGATAGATGTTTCAAGCTGATGGTAACTAGAGATCATGCCGGGCTTTACAAAATTCAGAACTTGGCATCATTTAACTGAAAGATATGTGCTTATGAGCTGATTCCTGCAATGATCATGTTAGTTGGCTTTTATTCATTTTAAGTAAGAACAAAAGGGAAAGGGCATCAGTTGATCTGCCTTAAATCGGAGTCCTATACCTTCTATGAAGCTTCATAGTAATAATACGCATTGGCCTGTACAATATCTTGTATTAGCTTTAAAGAAACTTCATCAAAATCTTTATCTGGATTTGAACTATAGTGATTTTAAAATTCCTTCTTGAATGTTTCTCAAGAATAGAAATGCTCTATAGCCACACAAACCTAATCACTAGGTCACCAATCTCATTCATTTCATTCCCACTAGAAAGGAAAGAGTAAATGTTTTGCTTTGTGCTAGCATAATTTCATTCCTAGTATAATATCGAATAAAACAGAAAAGAGTGTTTAATGAAGTTAATAAGATATTTGTTAGAAATTATTTATCAGATATTTTTCTGAAAAAGGCCAAAATACTGATCTTCAGAAATTGTTGAGCAACACTTGTGTGGGAAGTGATTCTGACTCAAATTTTTTGTTCTATGCTTGATATTTTAATTTTCCTAAATCTTTTTGAATTACATCTACATATGCAGCAGGAAAAAGTTGCAGAGACTAGAACGTGGAGAAGCAGAGGCTTAGAGTGTCTTGCAGATTTGCAGCACTACTGGACTACCATGACCAATATAGCTTGATAGCCCTGCACACAGCAGCCATGAAAGGGCAAAAGTATGTAGTACTGGTGCTGATAATATTTGGGGAGTATTATGGGGGCTAAGCTATACACCATTTGGCCGTGGGAGGTAGGAGCATGGAGGCTGTGGAGGTTTAACTTGACAATGGAACCAATTTTTGTGCTAAAGGAAGAAGTGGTTCTACACCTCTGTACATAGCACACAAGCTATGGGCTATACTGGTATGTCACGGCTGATAATTAACAGGAAGGTTCCTCATCTATATCTTCCTTATCGTCATATGTTTTATGATAAAAAAAACCACAAGAATCACTGAGCATTGGATACAGTATGATCTTATTTAATGTAAATAACTTGCTGTTTTTACTCTTGTTGACTCCATTGTAAATCTGCAAGTATATTTAGACTGAAAACTTAGACCCTTTGGTTGGAGGATACAAATGAATGCATTTAAATACAGGAGGAGGACTGCGTAGCAAATAAGTGGAAGCTTTATACTTCTGGGCAAGAGTGTTGAGTCTTTAACTCTTTATGTATCAAATGGGTCAGGTTGGGTTGACCCGATTTGTTTAAAACCCACAATGAAATAGGGAGGAAGAAGTAGAGTGCTTACCTAATAAAGTCTCGAGTCAGCATTAACTTTCTTATTACGAAGAAGTACACCATTTATGTACTGAAGAAGCTGAACTTTTGAACCCATCTAAAACTTAACCCAAATTCTGTCAAAAACGTCCAAATCTTCCATCAAAAGATTCAAAAATACACTGAAGGCTTCACTGTTTCACTGTTACAGAGATTCAAAACTTTCTTTATAAAAACCCCACCAAATTTAAACGCCAAACTACAACAACAAAATGCATGTTCATATTCTACCTTTTGCTCTCTTCTTCCTCTCCTCCTCCTCCGCCTCCGCCTCTTCCGACCACCTTCAACGTACACCCCAGGAGTTCATTGAGCTCACCCATCTCCTTCCACCCTCTGATCACGTGACTCCCGCATGCAATCTCACTATAATCGACCACTCCTTCACTAACTCCATCAACAAACCTCCCTTCACCGTCCCTTACTCTCCACCCTCCGATTGCCACCACCCCTGGTCACGCATCATTCTGGAATTCCACGCCAAGTCCAAAGGTCAACAGTACGGCCTCATAGCCGGCTTGTGGCTCGGTGGCTCCGAGCTCCTCCGTACCAGCACAGCCGAGCCTTGCAAGTCGGGTGATTTCTGGAAAGTACGTAAAGACATAACTAGGTATTCTTCTCTCCTCGTACAATCGAACCTTGACGTTACCATGATGTTTGAAAATATCGTTAACAACGTTGTTACCGGCGTTTACCACGTTAACGTCAATCTCTTGTTTGTCAAAGATAAAGCCGTTACTGTTCCCACTCCGTCTTTTCTTTCCCTCCATAATTCTAATGCTAACTCGGGGTTTGATTCCGATAAATATTACGACCCTCCTGCTGATTTGATCATTCCGGTATCTGAAGATGACGGTGACAAGAAAGGGTTTTGGTTTCGCATTGAAAGTGAATCGGATTCCCATTTCAAGAAAGTTAAGTTCCCGCGTAATACTTATAGAGCAATCTTGGAGTTGTACGTTTCATCTCATGGAAACGATGAGTTCTGGTACTTGAACCCACCAAATTCTTATATAGAGTTGAATAATATAACAACTGGTCGTGGTAACGGGTGTTATAGAGAGGTTTTTGTAACAATTGATGGGAGATTTATTGCATCAGAAGCGCCATTTCCAGTTATATTCACCCACGGTGTTAATCCATTGCTTTGGGAACCGGTGGTCGCAATCGGCGCTTTCAGTTTGCCTTCTTATGATATTGATTTGAGCCCGTTTCTGGGTTATGTTTTAGATGGAAAAGAGCATAAGATTACCATTGGAGTTAACGATGCCATTTCGTATTGGCTCGTGAATGCGAATTTACACATCTGGTTAGACCATAGCTCATCTGAAGTTGAAGCCAGCTCTGCAGTGTATCATTATCCAAATCTCAGCCTTGAAACTAACGAAGCTTTCAAGTTCCTTGATGGAAGATTTCAGGTTGCAGCTAAGAGAAGGACCGTGTTCGTGGGATGGGTGAAGTCAAGTTTAGGCAATTTGACTACCAGAGCTGTAAGGCAGTTCAGGTACAAAAACTCCTTAAGATTTGAAAAGAATGGAGATTACAAATTGGTGCAACAAAAGGTTAAGGTTAAGAGATCAGTGGAGACGAGAACTGAAAGGGGTCATTTGGTTAATCGTGTGCTTATTCGGAGACGTTATCCTCTTGAAGTGGCGACTTTGAATTTGGCTGTATTGAAGAAGAAGAAGAAGAATATATATGTGGTTCATACGAATGTCAGTCATTCGTTCGTGGAGCAATGTTCGATTGGGAAGATTCGGAGTTCTGTTACTAATAACCAAGTTTCTACCGGATGGATGGAGATTCATAAGGATCATAATTCTGTGGTTTCTGGTGAAGGATTAACAGAGCAGAGCTACGGTTACAGGGATGAATTTGGTTGTTATTCGCGTAGTGTTTCGGCAAGCAATGGCAAGCTCGTCAAAGACAAGACCCTCCCTTGCTTATCTCCTGTCTAACACGGCTTTAAAGCTGATTTCTGGTTTCTTGTTGGGACAATTCTACACTTACAATCCAATCTCACAATCCCGACGTAACAGTTCATACTTAATCAGCTCGTAGTGGAACTCACCTACCCAATTACGAACTCACCAATTATGAGTTGTCATATCGAGGTCATGAAAAAAAGTTTGTAAGATTGAGTCGTAAACCAATCTTTATTGTTCTTATTATCAGCTATCTAAATCATCTTAAATTTGTTGCTTTTATTTAATAATTTAGGGTTTATATTGTATCGATCTAATGGAATAATGATGTTTGATAAAATACAATAACCTTATCTTAGCTTAAGTAAAGAGCAAACGGGAAAGAGAATAAGTTGATCTACCTTCAATTGGAATCCTCTTACCTTGTATGAAACTTCATAGTAGCTTTGTGAAGCTTCCTCGAAGTCACCTGTTTGGATTTTGGACTATAGTAATTGAATATGCCCTCAATAATGTTGCTAAAAATTAAACGAAAAGCTTCTATTATCACACAAACTCAACCCACTTGAATTCACCTATCTATTCATTGTCTTTAATCTCACAAGTGTTTTTGTTATTTCTTCATATGATTTGTCCGTAGGATATACACTAATACGCAAAAGATTAGGGGGAAAGCATATCACAAATTTAGATATTGCAATTGCAAATTCTCACCATTATAGGAAAAGGGAATAATTTCACTGCAGTTTTTCTTCAACGTGTTTAAGGATTATCAGGGACCCATGAGTAATGTCGTGAAGCCTTTCACGTTTTGGTATCGTCATCAGTTGGACGCCAGAAACCCTTCTTAGCAACAAGAAATTGGTCTTGATAAACATTTATTGACCAATGAAGTGATTGGAGAATTGGCCTAAGCTTGTTAATCATGTCCACGGTGTCTTGAACCAGAACGTATCCACCTGGTCTCAATATTCGATCCATCTCTGCAGCTACATCGATAATGTCACATCTGACAAGAAAAAATTGCAGATCATTTAGATACCATAATATCCATAAAACGCGCCTCATAGCCCATATTTGCAAGATTGACAGGGAAGTATATAACAGAACAAAGCAGAAATCTGACAAGGATGTTATGCAACACTTTCAGAAGGGACTATACCTTTGAATTAGAGATTTGAAGAGAAAACTGGAATGCAGTAGATCATATGTTCGAGGGTAGATGCTAAAGGACTCGCACCAGTCATGATAGATCCCAATCAATCCTCGATCAAAGATAATGGATAGAGTATCTTGTGCATCAATAGGGACAACATTCATCACCCAAAGGGGTTGATCAATTAGTGCGACAGCAAATCTGTAAGAAGGCAAAATCTTGATATCAACTTAAAGTGACTCAATGACCATGTAGCTATAATACAATTAATCTGACCAATTTAAATTGATAGCACTAAATCGTTAGGATGGTAATAAGATTTTCACCTGAGTGTATAATTTTGTCATTGTTATCTAGAGAAAAAGTGAGAATCCACCGTCTAACATGAGTCACTGACCAAAGACCATTTAGCCACTGACAAAAATTTGAAGCCCTAGAGCTACACAAATTTGCAAATATTTTCACCGAAAACCAGTACACTTTTGAAATTTGGGTTATTTTCTATGAACTCTCTTTACAAATTTACAACTCTAATTCTAAAATTTAGACATATTTTACATCAAAGAATACTACAACAGAATTTGCTGGCTGTCCTATGCAATTTTACAATCACTGGATAAAGTAATTCCTTATATCCCTGCAACAAACACCTATATAACACTTTAGTATCTATAGAGCAGGTCTCAACTATTATGTCCAAAACTAGGCCTACTGTTACTAAATTATAAAGAAAAAGACGTGGACACAATAAAGCATTAAATAATAATGGGGCAGATAGAAAAAGCACATGTAAAAAACAAGAATAAAGAAATTTAAGAATAACCTCATAATAAATCACAACAACTAAAGTAGAGTAAGAAGCAGCAACTTGACCAGTTAACAAACTTGACATTTCTTACCCTCCATAACTGGCATTCATGTCCATCACATTCCGTACACTTGACCAATTTATAGCTAAGCCCTGCAGATAAACTTCTGACACAAGTGCTGACCAATGTGTACTATCCTTGTTATATATTTCCTCAGCATTTAGTTTAGTTGAAAGTCTTGGAGATTTGCTTCTAAGCCTTTGGGGCCAGGGTTCAGGCCAGCTGAACAAGTTTCCCTTGCCATCAACTGGAAGTCTGGGAAGGCAATTACTAATGGGCACATACCTAGACAAAGAATGGGAGTATTAGAAGCAATTTTAGTATAAAGTGATAATATAACTAGTGAACATAATATTACAGCAGAACTTATAGGTTTGGTTGCTCCTGTCTCACAACATATGAGAATAACATTACTTTTTCTTCTAAATCGATGGCCACCCAAATATCTGTGTGTGTGCGCATGTGTGGGCATATAGACATGTATGTATGAGTAATATGGTGGCAATATATAATATATTTCAAAGGATTACCATGAACTATTCAATCCATCTTTTTTATCACATAAAGGTGGGTTATTTTCTTTCCGTTTCTCATAGCAGGAATATGAGACAGGCTTCTGAAATACTACAAGTCCAATTCTATTTGAGTCAACACCCCTAGCCACAGCCTTCCAGCACATAGATTCTGTCAGAGCTACCACAGCTGCACAAAAAAATAATATGAACATCCAAGTTAAATATCTTAAAAATTCAAGTCCCAATTACAGATTAACTAATATAACTTATTATTCACAAACCCAGATAATCAAAAGAAAAAGAGAAGAACAGCACAAGTTTTCCGGAAAAAATTTCTTAAGTGTGTTTTGTTTGTGTGCTGGGGGAAGATAGAGGGAGCAGATGCTAACATACCATTCCAAACATTACGATGTTTTTCGTCGTGACGATAAACTGGTGTAGCAGACCAAACAAAAAAACCTCCAGGCCTAAGAATTCTGTTCATCTCTATTAGTGGTAATCCACCTGCATTTTTCAGCCCGAAGCATCACAAGAGTTTTAAGACTTCCATAATGGTTTACAATGCAAGAGAAATAATATTTATTGTAACGTATAGAACTACACTAGTAAAATGATAATGGCAATCATAATGATGACGACTATAATAATATAACAAGAACCTTAAACTTAATGCTTAAAAAGCATAATGCCACATACCATCTCCATACCAATGAACTCTGCATCGTGCACAATGAATCAAATCATATGCATCATCTGGAAATGGTAGCTTTTGTGTTCCAATGACAGAAAGTGTGGCAGGAATGCCACGCTCTAGAGCAAATTGTATCTGTGCATCATGCTCATCCTTTGGGGCAAATGACATGGTAATGACATCTTTGTCCAGCAAATAGCCACCAAAGCTAGCAACACCACAACCAACATCTAAAACGACTCGTACATGCTTCCCCCATTCAATAGTTGATAAAGTCTAAAATAAACCAATACATGAGAAGAGAACAACAAAGGAAAGGGTCAAAAAGAAATGTATCTCAACAAAAAGTTAGAATCCAAATCCTTGATGACACATCAAGAAAAGCATTTTGCTGCAAAGATGTTCTCGCAATACAAAGCAAACATAAAAATCAAACTTTGCAACATAATGTGCACTGGTCATCCTTATAATATACCTGTTGTATAAAGTCAATGTAGCTAGTAACTCCTTGCTTGAATTGAGTACCACCGCCAGGAAAAACAAAATAATCACCAGACTTGCGCACCCAATTTTGGTCTTTCTTGTAATCAACGAGCTTAGGGTGTGGAACATTGTTGTACCAAATCTGTAAATCAAAAGATAAGAAACCACATCACGAAATATTTTCTAATCTAACCAGTAATACTTGTAACTAATTATAATCACCTCACCAAATTTCCAAAAGTAATTGTTTTACTTCATTTAAGAGATTGAATTCTTTCATCTAAGAGATTGAATTCTCTTTCTTCACTTCAAATTTACGAGAACTAATAAATCACTTATTTGAATAACAAGTAGCTTCACTTATTATTACATCTCATTGAATTGTTAATCTAAAAACCTCAGCTTAACATCACAGCTTCACTAATATTACCCTTTAACAAAACCAGTATGATCCACACCTATAGTTCAGCTAATTTAGGCTTAAAACACTAATTCTAAACTATAAAATAATAATATAATAAAAAGCTCAATTAAGGACAAATAAGAAAAAGTACATAAATAAATAACAAATCTCACTAAGTTAAACAACAATGAGCTTCTTATCTTGTTACATCTAATTTATTTTTTCAAATAACAAATATCAGCTTCATTAATACAACACTGTAATAAGTAAAGCTAATTCAAGCTTAAAACACTACAAAAATAGAAAAAATTATTTAATGATCCTGAAATGTTTAACAGAAAAGAAAAGAAACAAAATCTTAATGAAGAACCGAAAAAGAAAATAATAAACAAATCTTACCAACAAAAAGTATCAAACAATCTCACCATGTCCCTACTCTTTGGCCACGGAACCGGCAGCCTATAACCGTACGGTAACGGCACCAAACACCTCGGACTCGGGCTCGGGCAATGTCGCTCATGTTTCTCCATTCGTTTCCTTGACTGCAACTGTTTAATCGCTTCATAATTATCCAAACACGGTATATAATCCACCGCCTCCGGCGCACAAGTGTTCCATTTTATTAAATCCAAATCCGATTGACCGAGGGTAACATCGCCGGAATTATAATCGTCATTTGCGGTCTTGTCAGTAAAGGGAGTGGAGGCGTTAGTGACGACTGTTGAAACGGAGGCGTTATCGGACGGAAGTGGTGGTGGTGGTGTTTCTGTTTCAGTGACGGTCTTCGAAACGGCAGCGTTCTCCGACGGAGGTGGTGGTGTTTGTGTCTGAGTGATGGTTTTCGAAACGGCTGCGTCTTCTGACTGAAGTGGTGGCGGTGGTGGTTGTGTTTGAGTGATGGTTTTTGAAACGGTGGCGTTTCTAACGAGAGGTGGTTGTTGAAAGTAGTAAGAGATGATGGAGGAGGAGGGGCCGGTGGTGGCAGTGAAGACAAAAACGGTGACTGTTATAAGCAGAAGTGAGAGAACGAAAATGAAGGGGAATTTACGCTCTTTGAAGAGATATTGTACAGAGGAAGTGTCCATTTTTCGTTGAGTGAAGCTGAAGATCTAAGATCTACTGAGAAAGTCAGATTTAGATTGGCGGAAATTTGAGAGCGAAACGCGGTTCATTTGTAATTGAAGTTGGAAGAGTCGTTATCAGAGAAAGTAAAGTAGGCTTCGAAGTTCAGTCAATTTCTATGGCTTTAAATTGTTAGTTGAAATCTTCCCAAATTTATCATTAGAATAAGAGCAAACGACATGTTCCCACCCAAGGTTTAGTGGTACCCTTATAGTAGCCCTGGTTTCATAAATTCTAGATTTTCACCCTTAAACTATCAGAAATTGTTTAATATAATAGTCAAATGATAAAATATTGATTTTACATTGCATTTAGTGTGAAATGAAAATGAAAAGTTCAAAATAATTATATTTCCACCCCTGGTTTTCTGCCCCACTCCCATCTTCACACAAGTTGTGTGCGTAGAGGAAAGGATGTTGGCTGGGCCGGTTGCGGCAAATGGTTGAATAGGTGGTGGGCGATGATGAAGAAGCAAGGTTGGAGTGGTGGGGGGATTGTCGGCGACCAGAAATCAATGCAACAGTAACAAAATTGCAAACAACACTTCAAAAACAACAAACTTCACTTATCAAACACTAAAACCCAACAAAAAGCAGATGAGAGGGTTGCAAAACTGCGACTGTCTCATGGCGACAAGTGCAAGTCGCGGGCAGCAAACGATAAAAGGAGAGGAAGGGGAGTTAAACGATGCAAACAAGGTTTATTTTCGGTGTGAGATTTGGTCGGGAAAATGTGAAAAAACACGAAAGTGTAGTGGTTGTTTGTCGGCGATTTAAGGGTGCAGTTGTTTGTGGGTTAGAGGCTGGCTGGAAAGGTGAAAGGTCGCGCTCGATCAATGGCAGAAAGCTGAGAAAGATGAAAGGCCGCGCTCCATCGGCGACAGGAAGCTCGATGACAAACGTCGACTGTATTGAAGAAGAGAATGAAGAATAAGGAAAGTTTGGTAACAACACCAGTAGAGCCTCTTTAAAGTGATACTTTAGGAATAATCTTCATATAGTCATAAAAAATTATGGTCTCAACTTGAGTCAGTTATAAATAAGAATAAATTTCATATTGTAATAAGTTATAATTTTTCTAGATCCCGTCTTAAAGAACTTGCCTCTACATAGTAATACTTATATGTATATTACAAAAAATATATGTTATGTTACATTCAAGGTTTAAGATGAAATAAAATATTTATCTAAAGATGTTACATTCAAGGTTTAAGATTTATACTATAGAGTTGTTACCATATCTTTTATCTTATGGGTTCATAATAAGTCGCCAATATGGACACCTTCTTATTAAAGCCAAAATATTTCTAACTTCTCAAGTATGTTTGGAGCTTCTTGACACAAAACTTTTGGTATTTCTATATTATCATTCTCAGGATTATCTCCTTCCTTTTCTTATCTAATTCTAGTAATATTTTTTTTTCTTTAGTTAAAACAAATATGACTTGTTACTCATTTGGATGATTGAAGAATACATTAATATCCATTTGATTAGTGTAGTGAAGTTGTCGAATCTGATCACTTAATTCTACAATAACTTTTTGATATTCATTTTCGTACTATCTTAAAGCTACTAAAACAATGAATTGAAATTTTAATACTACCAAAACATGAGTTGAAATCCTAATACTACCAAAACATGAATTATAAAATAAGAATTTTTTTTGAATAAAAAAATAATTATTATAACTATACCTCTATTAAGTTATAATATCTTCATAGTAATAAACTTAGTTAGTTATAACATTATGACTATAGAGAGGTTTTACTGTATATGGTGTCAAAACCCAAAAAATCACGACGTTAATTTGAGAGTATGTGGTAGGAACCCTGTATATCACTAAACCTTGGGTGTGAATATGTCGTTTACTCTTATAATAATAGTTTTTACACTTTTTGTTTATTTTTTCAAATAACAAATATCAGCTTCATTAATACAACACTGTAATAAGTAAAGCTAATTCAAACTTAAAACACCACAACTATAGAAAAAATTATTTAATGATCCTGAAATATTTAACAGAAAAGAAAAGAAACAAAATCTTAATGAAGAACCGAAAAAGAAAATAATAAATAAATCTTACCAACAAAAAGTATCAAACAATCTCACCATGTCCCTACTCTTTGGCCACGGAACCGGCAGCCTATAACCGTACGGTAACGGCACCAAACACCTCGGACTCGGGCTCGGGCAATGTCGCTCATGTTTCTCCATTCGTTTCCTTGACTGCAACTGTTTAATCGCTTCATAATTATCCAAACACGGTATATAATCCACCGCCTCCGGCGCACAAGTGTTCCATTTTATTAAATCCAAATCCGATTGACCGAGGGTAACATTGCCGGAATTATAATCGTCATTTGCGGTCTTGTCGGTAAAGGGAGTGGGGGCGTTAGTGACGACTGTTGAAACGGAGGCGTTATCGGACGGAAGTGGTGGTGGTGGTGTTTCTGTTTCAGTGACGGTCTTCGAAACGGCAGCGTTCTCCGACGGAGGTGGTGGTGTTTGTGTCTGAGTGATGGTTTTCGAAACGGCTGCGTCTTCTGACTGAAGTGGTGGCGGTGGTGGTTGTGTTTGAGTGATGGTTTTTGAAACGGTGGCGTTTCTAACGAGAGGTGGTTGTTGAAAGTAGTAAGAGATGATGGAGGAGGAGGGGCCGGTGGTGGCAGTGAAGACAAAAACGGCGACTGTTATAAGCAGAAGTGAGAGAGCGAAAATGAAGGGGAATTTACGCTCTTTGAAGAGATATTGTACAGAGGAAGTGTCCATTTTCGCTGAGTGAAGCTGAAGATCTAAGATCTACTGAGAAAGTCAGATTTAGATTGGCGGAAATTTGAGAGCGAAACGTGGTTCATTTGTAATTGAAGTTGGAAGAGTCGTTATCAGAGAAAGTAAAGTAGGCTTCGAAGTTCAGTCAATTTCTATGGCTTTAAACTGTTAGTTGAAATCTTTCCAAATTTATCATTAGAATAAGAGTAAACGACATGATCCCACCCAAGGTTTAGTGATATCCTTTTAGTACCCCTGGTTTCATAAATTCTAGATTTCCACCCTTAAACTAACGGAAATTGTTTAATATAATAGTCAAAGGATAAAATATTACTTTTACATTGCATTTAGTATGAAATGAAAATGAAAAGTTCAAAATAATTATATTTCCACCCCTAGTTTTCTGCCCCACTCCCATCTTCACACAAGTTGCGCGCGTAGGAGGAAAGGATGTTGGTTGGGCCAGTTGCGGCAAATGGTCGAATAGGCGGTGGCCGATGATGGAGTAGCAAGGTTGGAGTGGTGGGGGGATTATCGGCGACCAGAAATCAACACGACAGTAACACAATTGCAAACAACACTTCAAAAATAATAAACCCCACTGATCAAACACCAAAACCCAACAAAAAGCAGATGAGAGGGCTACAAACTACGACTGTCTCGCGATGGCAAGTGCAAGTCGCGCTCGATCAGTGGCAGAAAGCTGAGAAAGATGAAAGGTCGCGCTCCATCGGCGACAGGAAGCTCGATGACAAACGTCGGCTGTATTGAAGAGGAGAAGGAAGAATACGGGCAGTTTGGTAACATCACTATCTAACGGTAGAACCTCTTTACAGTGATACTCTATATAAGAATAACTTCTATATAGTCATAAAAAATTTTGACGCTGACTTGAGCCAGTTATAAATAAGACTAAATTTCACATTGTAATAAGTTATAATTTTTTAGGTCCCGTCTTAAGAAACTTGCCTCTACATACTAATAATTATATGCATATTACAAAAAATATATGTTATTTTACATTCAAGGTTTAAGATGTTACATTCAAGGTTTAAAATTTATACTATAAAGTTGTTACCATATCTTTTATCTTATGGGTTCGTAATAAGCCACTAACATAGACACCTTCTTATTAAAGCTAAAATATTTCTAACTTCTCAAGTATATTTGGAGCTTCTTGACACGAAACTTTTGGTATTTCTGTACTATTATTTTCAGGATTATCTCCTTCCTTTTCTTATCTAATTCTAGTAATGTTTTTTTTTTAATTAAAACATACATGACTTGTTACTCATTTGGATGATTGAGGAACACATTAATATCTATTTGATTAGTGTGGTGAAGTTGACGAATCTGATTATTTAATTCTGTAATAACTTTTTTATATTCATTTTCGTACTATCTTAAAGCTACTAAAACAATGAATTGAAATCCTAATACTACCAAAATATGAATTATAAAATAAGAATTTTTTTTGAATAAAAAAATAATTATTATAATTATACCTCTTTAAGTTATAACATCTTTATAGTAATAAATTTAGTTGGTTCAATATTATGATTATATAAAGGTTTTACTGTTATGACTATAGAAAGGTTATACTGTATAGGGGGTAAAACTAAAAAAGTCACAAATAATGTTAATTTAAGAGTATGAATGTGGAATTTATGAACCGGGGGTAGGAACGTTGTATTGTATATCACTTAACCTTGGGTGAGAACATGTTGTTTACTCTTATAATAATAGTTTTTACACTGTTTCTCAAAAAAACCCTCCACGGTCAAAAGATATATCACCAATACCCTAACCCTGTGTAACATAATGGTCCATTTACATTTTCCCTTTTACATTTTCGCCCTAGATATAAGATATTAACCTGAGTCGGTGCAATTATTATAGGGCTATAATCGCATGAAGAATGGCAGACAGATATGAGATCTGGGCCAGCATTTTTTTTTCTGTATATTTCTGGGTTGAATATTAAATGGAAAGACTAACAGTATTTTGATTTTGTTGTTGCATAATCTGTTTCCGGGTTCTCATTATAAATTTAACCAGAATTATTAAGGTATGCTCCATGGACATTAGGGGACATCAATTAAACGAAAAAGTGGGAGACTCAAGTTTGCATGCATGAATGAAATCCCAGTTCAATGAGAAACCCATCATTGAAATTTCTGTTACAGGGATTTTTAGATTTAAACAATTAATGGCAACCATAAAGATTGAACTCTTGAATGAGGTTTCCTGTATCCTCCTTACTCTAAAATAATTTGGTAAACCGGCAAAACGACTCAACAAGCGGATTGTTTTGAAATTGGTTTCATACAACCGCAAAAAGTTTGTTTAAATGACAAAAAAAATTCACAAAAATGTAATGTATGCTGCATTTTTATCACTCTGATATCCCGGGACCAGAATCCAAATCGACTTCTCCCATTCCCGTGTCTTCCTCTTCTTCGCTATCTTCATCACCACTTACCTCCTCATTTTGTTGGTGTAGCTTAGCCATGTGCTCAGCAAGCAATTTGTCGTCTCTTTCACTCACCTGAAACAGTGCACCACAAATCAGACCCAAACATGAAAAATGGCAAGGTCCCTTGCTGAGAAAATTGTTGATAATAAAGGTTTTGATGCTATGGAGAAATGCTAATTAAAATAATAAATTTAAATTTGAAATTAAAAGTATCAGCACTCACCGCTCTGGGTTCCTCCTTCACAACAAGTTTTCCCTTTTGCTTCTCTATTGCTTCAGTACAAGCAGCAATTGCTTTAGTGAGAACTGAGATCCCTTGCTCCTGTCCATCCAAATAATTAAAAACAATTACTTTTATTTGGTAGTGGCTTTCTAAACTAAACTATGCAGTTGCTAATGTGTAGCGGGCAAAGATTCCGCGCCTAAACATCATGCTTCTATACAATTTTATATGCCAACTAGACCATACTTATTTCTTGAACACGATAACATTAGCTCCTACTATAACAGCCTTTCAAGAGTAAATTAATTCAGCTAACCTTGTCAAGGGTCTGAGTGGTGAGGACATAAAGTGGTGGTGCAACCAATTTGATTTTTACAGGACAGTCATTATTGCCAGCAGCCTCAGCTTTTCTCATGGCATCCTGTAATGTCAAAAATAAACATGAAGTAACAAATGAATCAGCAATTTGAAACTAAAGTTGCCTTCATGACTAAATCATGATCATTCATATAAATGTCAGTCAAACAAAAACTGTTAGGAGACCAAAAGAGAAAGATTAAAATAAAACCTTAATGTGAAGAACACCATCAAACTGGAAGCACTTCATTTCAATATCAGCTCGAATCTTCAACGGTTGTGGGGTCATTCTTCTCCTGATATTCTTTACTAAAGCATCTTTCACTTCCTCAGTCACAGCAGGAACCACCTTAGTGACCTGTACAATGAGATAGGGAGGACCTTAGTCATCAATGGAAATAGTATGGTATAAAACCCTCCCAAAACAAAGTTTACCTCCTGTCCATCAGGGCCAGTTTCTTTGACTTCACGGGTGAGGGAATTCAAAACGGTATCAGGGTCAGTAACAATGATTTTGAATGCCTGCATGTAATATAGTTTAAGAGTTTATATCCCCAACCGTAACTTGGAAAGCACACCTCAAGAAAGATGTTAGCATTTTTACCTCAAAAGCATGACCATACTTGCGGTACAAGGGCCAGCCAATATGGATATAAAGATCCTGTAACAAGAAAAATACATTTAGCATTGACCAATCAAAGGTTAAGCATATCATAACTTAAAAAGAATTCAAGTGCTACAGTCCATGAAAAATCACAGGGAAGGATCCAAGGTTTCGATAAGCTGACTGAACAAGCAATAATAATCTGTAAATATTTCAACAAGCAACATCAGTCTTCTTATTTGCAAAATAATGATTCATGGTCCAGGTTGCTCCTGAACTTTTGGTAAGGTGCCAAAGCAATTTAATGACAAGACTATCCTTCAAATTTGTATTCTAATTTTTTCTTACCAACCTCCTACCCGATGATGGTACTTATTGTAATCACCACATTTATTAATAACTAAAAAGCGTTTTAAAACATACAATTAATTAAAAAAAAAAAAAAATCTTCATTTTATCTGCTTCAGTGAGCCCCCATAATTTAGATAGAGAGTCCTCACTCCTCTCCCTATCTTTTTTAGTTGATAAGCGACAGAAACTTAAGCTAGAACTGCGCCCATAATTTAGATAGAGAGTCCTCACTCCTCTCCCTATCTTTTTTAGTTGATAAGCGACAGAAACTTAAGCTAGAACTATGGTGCAATGTGAAGGCCCCCCCAATGTTCCTCGAGTTGATGTCACTAAGACATCTACCACAAGGATCAGCATAAAACTTACAACAAGAAACTAACAGGAAAGAACACCGCCAGTTCATTACGCTTGGTTAATTCTTTCCACCTGGCCATTCCGCCTAGTCATGATAGCAGGTTTATAAAATTTCAACCAGCTACTATCCTTCTCTCATGGCAAATAGAATTCTTCTTAAGTATTGTAAGTTAGATAGATACACAGAACAAAGCCAGCCACAAGTTTATAAGATTCAACAACAAACCAACAACCAATGCCCTGCCAAAAGCACAACAAATATTCTTTCTTGTACCTATAAACATTAAATTATTCATCTAAGCATTCAAGGAAACCAAAGCCATATTTAACTTTACCCATACAAACTATATATATTATACTAATCCATAATTTACAGAGAAACACAAACAGGCTTTACACGAGTAATATTACACTTACAAATAAATTTTACAAAGATCTTCACACAAAGTGATGTGGCAAAAAATGAATGAAAGAATTCACTCTACTCATTAAATTCACTCTTCCATTCATTTTTTGCCACATCACTTTGTATGAAAATCTTTGTAAGATTTCTTTGTAACTATAGTATTATTGTTACACTTATTATCCCTAAATAGCTCTAGCATTACATATACATTAAGTTTATATCTCCAGGGAGATATAAAAAATTCAAACTCATATAAAATACACACGAAAACACAATTGTAGAAAAGAACATAAATCAATCAAGATTACTACCTCTAAATCGATGCTCAAGGTCTCAGCCACGTGTCGCATGATAGAGTGAACGAGCTTGCTCTTATTGTACCTCTCTTCACAAGCCTGAATATCCTCTTCACTAACCCTCCTTTTACTCAAATCAATATAACCTTTTTCCTTATCAACACGCAGCACCATCACGGGCTCGATACGCCCCACCTTGATGAGGCTACTGACACTACGAATCCGGCGGCGAGAAAGCTCTGAGAAAAGGATCATACCTTCGATGTTGTTGTATTCCAGAAGTGAAACATAAGCGCCCATATCGGCGATGTTCTTCACTTGGATCATTACAGCCATGTCCACCTCCGGATACTTGGCCTCATACATGCGGCAATCAAGATTTGGGGAGTGGCTTGCCATGTTTGGTAGCTCGGAAAGTTCTTCTCTTCTCGGGAAAATTCGAGGAGAGAGTGAAAAAAATTAGGGTTTTAAGATACAATCGGAGAGACACTTCAAGACTAGAACACAGAATGGTGTCTATGCGTTTTGTTTTTGAGTAATTTTATTTGCTCCCCCTAATATTTTAGAATTATCAAAAACCCCAAATGTTTCCAATATAGATATGACCTCCCTGAGTGTGAGTGGGGTAGAAGTTAAAGTGGTTTGTTGAAATCTCAGTTACATTGTTTCTTTTTGAAATTACAATTTTAACCCTTGAATAAAAGTAATAAGAAAAAGCTAAAAGAATTAACAAAACACAACAAAAAAACTACAAAACTGAAAAAGAAACTCAAAACTCACAAAACTTAAAAGCATGGAAACCTTGGCTCAAGTGACCGGAGTAGATGCTGTAGGCTTAGTGAACCTCATCATATCATCGGCCGGAAAGGCCACAACACACCATAGAAACTGCGAGCAGCTGGCGGAGCACGTGAGGATGATAGGAAACTTGTTGGATAAGTTGAAATCAACTGACCTTGTGAAATTACCAGCCATAAAAGAGCCACTGGATTGCTTGGAGGAAGCTTTGAAGAAGGCGTTTGATTTAGTGGAGAGTTGCAGAGATAAGAGTTTCTTGTACATGATTGCCATGGGGTGGAGCGTAGTGTATCAGTTCCGCCGAGTTCAGGCTGAGATTGATCGTTATCTTAAACTCGTGCCCTTGATTTCCCTTGTCCATGAGTTCCGTATGCAGGTATGAAACGGAATGTTTCATTGTTTTGTTGCCAGAAAACACATTTTTTGCTTTCAAAAAACAAGTTTATTTATTCATCCCAAATTCCCAACCTGCATTAAAAAAAAAAAAAAATTCCATTTTTATGAAGGCATTCTGCAGAAACAGACTAGTTTTTTATTTGTTAAAAGAAAAAGAGACATTGTTTAGACTTTAGTGTTTATTCTACTTCTTCTGTGCAGTTGAAAAGAATCTGGGCCATTGAATGTTTTGTGGGTCCTGAAATTCTGGTGGGGTATCTTGTGAAATGAACGACCTTGATTTTCTTGAATCTTCAACCCAGCACTTTGATTGAGTTATTGTCGGTAGCATTAGTTTGACATAATTTGTACATGTGTTTTCCATATTTGGTGGCATATTATTTTTCTGTCACTGCCAAGAAACAGAAAAAAGAAAAAAAAAATACTGTCTTTATCAAACCAATCGACCTCATTGTATGGTGGATTCTTCCATTTTTGAATTGATTGTGGATGCAGCAAAGAATGTTTTTTTCTTCTGGACCACCTGGAAAAACTGTGTTTTCTGGGCAAATTTGACTTGAATAAAATAAATAATCAGCTTGTTTTTTTTTTTAATGAACCCACCAGCATTTGAAGGAAGGTTTGGTAGCCATTGAAGATGATCAAAGAGAGTACACGCTAGATGAAGAGGATGTTAAAGCACAGAGTGTGATATTAAAACCTGATCGTTCAAAGAAAGATGCAAACATATTGGAGAATTCACTGTCGAGAAAATATCCTGAACTGGGATTCCAGGAAGCACTTGAGGAAGAAAAAGAGAAACTACATATAGAGCTGCAACGATCAAGAACTAACAATGATACCAAACAATGCCGCTTGATTGAACATCTAATAGATGTGACAGAAAATGTGGTTAATGATCTTCCAGGGAAGAAGGTCAGTAAACTTCTTGTCAATGAACCAACTTACACTCTATCAGGGTAAGTATTTAAGACAGAAAAGCTCTGCAATTTTGGGCACAAGAAGTTTTTATAGGTCAAAATATTTTTATCTTTTAATCGAATTTTCGTGCAATTACGGGCAGGTATGTAATTAATAATGCTAACTCTGGCTATGGAGATGTGGGACAATTATCAGAGTGGCAATCTGATCTTTTTGATTGTTGCAGAGAGCCCAGTTTATGTGAGTTCTTCTGATAAATTGTGAAAAAACTTGATTTGAGCTCATTGTTTTAAGATTTGATTTTGGTTGATTTCAGGCTTGAAGACATGCGTGTATCCCTGTGGAACATTTTCAAGGATAGCTAATGCGGTGTCAAAAGGAAAAATATGTAAGCTCTTACCATTTTCAAGTCGTGCACTTTGGTGAAACAATTTGTGAGGTTGAGTTAAACCCAGTATAGATCAAATAATTCTGATTCTTTCTCTTGGCACTTACAGCTCGTGAGCAAGCAATCGACAGTGTCATGGCATACTCCCTCTTCTGTGGATGTTGCTGTTACACTTGCTGCATAAGGAAAAAACTGCGAGAAACTTACAACATTGAGGTTCTTCTTCATTGCAGAAAAGAGTTTTAAACTTCTGATAGAAAGAATCTAATCTTGACATTTTTTTGGCTCTACTGTGCAGGGAGGCTCATGTGATGATTTCCTTACTCATCTCATGTGTTGCTGTTGTGCAATGGTTCAAGAATGGCGTGAGCTTCAACTCAGGGGCTTTGAAGGTAAATATAAATATAAATACAAGTTCATTAAGAGCAATGGCATCACACTATCTCTGAAAACAGGAATTGAACTCATTTGTTTGCATTGCAGGTTGTCAAGGGAGAAAAATGATTCCTCCACCATGCCAATATATGAAGCCTTGATTCCTTCAAATCATGGCTTCTCTATGAATACTACATATAAATTGACGGGGTTAGAGTTTAGTAGTTAATACTTAATACTACACCTATAAACTTTGTATACAAATTCTATTATATAAATTGATTTGACATATTTATCCTTAATTATAAACCTTTATTAAGTTAATTTCTTCTATTCATATTTGTGCCATACAAAAAATTGTATGCAAATTTTGTGTCCTGTTTTCAGTACAGCTGTAATTATGCATCAACAAAACAGATTGAGATGAGGCAACAAGAGCCATGCGTAAACTGTCGAATATGCAGCTAACAAAAAGGGGACAATATAAACAAATAAAAACCGCTACAGGGGTCAACCCAGGCTCAGTGCCCAAACAAAATTTGGGGATCAGAAAATGGAATTGAAACCAGGAAAGTCTATTGTGAGAAAAAGCGATTGTCCATATATTAGGGGTGGGATCGTCCAAAAGGGAACTCTGCTACAACCTAGATGGAGCTGGCCGTGGCTGAAAATCAAGTTAAGAAAGTGCCAACAACGGTAAACCATGTGAGAATTGCTACATTTTTACTTCAAAAATAAACTACAACTCAACTCTTTGGGATTGTGTATTGCCATTCCATAGCGAGAAAATCCAACGAAACAGGGGTGATAACTTACTGGGTTCACTCTTCTGAACTGGTTTTGTCTTTACATTGCAAAGGGTGTCGAAGTCATGCTTCAGATGAGGAGCAACAATTCTTTCCTGCAGGAAAGTGAAACAGAAACAGAAAAGATTAAACAATGAGTATGTAAGGGGCAATTGCCTTTAATAAACATACGAGTTTGACAGATGATAGTACCTTAAAAACATTGAATGGGCAGAAATCAGTACCGTCACAGCCCTGTTCACAACAGCAAGAAATGTTAATGTCTAGGCATACAGAAGCTAGAATAATGTAGATAATTGAAAATACACAAAAGAAAACATGACAAATAGTAATAATGCAAAAGAAAGAAAGAATCTACAACTTACAGGCACTGGAATGGGATGTTCATTGTGCAGTACTTGAACAAAGTACTTGTTTGGGACGTTAGCAGGACAACTATACAGAACAAGCATGTTATTCCCCGCAAAAGGTGCCACAATGCTGCCCCTCCAATTTCTACTCTGGGGAGGCTTTGGAGGGAGTTGCAAGGGTTCTTCTCGTTGTATTTGGTGCAATTCTGAAATATGCATAAGTCCATTAAGAAAGTGGATATAAAGTTTTATACTTGGACACATCCAAGTACCACACAAGGATTCAAGTATGCATGTTATGGTCCTCACGTGATCTTTCAAGGAAAAGCCCAAGCAAACAAGTGAATGGAACTACAGTTTCTGCATGTGCAAATCGAAGACTCGCCTTTTCATAACTTCCCGGGGTATGTTTTTCTACAAGATTAAAAGACAAATTAGAAAAGCCAGAGATAGAAGTGATAGCCAAACACATTCAATAGGTGAACCAACTATTAATGCAATTCTTTCAGCAGAATGCTTCAACCACAGAAGTTTCATTGACGCATGACTAAACATATTTTATTCACCAAGTTATCTCCAAATTAATACCAACATTGTCTTTGGGCTCAAAATGGAGGGAAGAGAAGTTTTGCTAATTACTAAAAGATCACATTAAATATACCTTTGATAAGAATAGTAAAAACAAAGACAACAATGAAATAATTTGAAAAGTAAAAGAAGAAAAAGGATTGTTGGCAGGCAATTTGGCAAAACCAAGGATAATAACCCTAAATCATTCATAATTTCTGGGAACATTTATCAGCATCATTGAAATGCTATCCCAGTAGTTTTAAACAGTTCTTCATAAGGTTCATAGAAGATCCTCATCCACCATAACATACATAAAGTCCAAACCTCCTCCTTCCATTAAAAATGAGGGCTATGACATATTGACAAGCAAGGAAAAAGGTATGAAGAGTGTATACTTAAAATTTTGATGATACCTTCCTTAGCCTTAATAGCTTCTTCCATTGATTGAACAACATCCCCGAGCAATGGCACTCCCATTCGGTAGTTTAATGACTCGCCATAACCCTTCAATATGAACACCTCCAAGTCATCTGTCCACTCCAGCAAAGCAAGCTACAACATGTTTAAACATTCGCAAGTTAAAAACATAACCAACAAGACAAAAAATAATTCAAGTCTTCTAAACTAGCCTTAGCTGACAGGCACATTTAATTATTGAACAACAAAAATATTTCTTTCTCATTAACTCACATGCAGACATGAGCATCAACTTTTATACAATTTCTAGCCCAGGATCAAAAACCTTGATGATAAAGATAAAGATGCAATAATAGTCAAAAAAATTTAAACTCTACATTAATATGCAAGACAATCAGTGAGCTTACAGATCAGCAACTCAAATTTCAATTACAATCAGATAACATAAAATTTTTGCACCTCAGAAGGACTGAAAAGACCACAAGCTTGATCGGTTATATCCAACAATGATGCTTCCTGTCAAAATGAAGCCAATTAAGATATCGACCCAAAGGTATATCTCAACTGCGTATCTGTTGTGGACTCAAAGAGCAAATGATTTGTTTACAACAAAATTTGGAAGGACAATCACCTGTTTACATAAAAACCAGAGAGAAGAAATATCCTGTCTAGTGAAATTCAGTCCATATCGCTTTCTCAATGAAGAAGTAATTTCATCAAAAGTTGGTTCCTTGAGCTTGTTGACAGCAGGCTCCCGATTTGTCCTAAAATTCTGCATACACAAGATGTCTAAAGCAATTAAAAGAAATACAATTTCTATCAACAAAGACCCATTTGACATATTTTTTAAGGTACATTTTTAAAGATTCACATTTTGTGAAACTGGAGATTTAAAGAAAGAAAAAATGAACACAAAAACACTCAGAAAAATGAAAGTAAAAACACTCCCTTTCATTTATCTTACAATTTCAGAATTTGCCTAAAAAACTTGAAACTCAATTACCAACATGCGTTCGTCGGTGGGTGTTTAAATCCTAAGAAAACATCAAGATTATACAAAAATACCTTGTAGTTGTCACAACAATCATGAAACCTCAACTTTATATCACTTGCACGGCTTTCACTAGTAACAGCAAATGCCCGATGACGCCCAGGTCCTAGACTTCCTCTCTCACTAAACAGGCCCATGCCGAATGCTACTGCACTGGCAGATGCCCGGGGAACCTATATCATCAGTGAGAAAATAAATGTAAAAACAAATAGAGAAAAAAAGGTACAGGAGTGCAGGGAGGGAAGAATATAGAACAAAACTAGACCTACATCGCGATAGTTTTTTTATTAAAATCAATTGAGCACAAGCACAAAAATGAAAATGCAGGGTATGTAAAACAAATAAATTAACAAGATGATAGAAAAGTAGAAGATAGAAGAATCTCCCATCAACCACTACTATACATCTCATGGCAGCATCAAACTCAAAGAAAAAATCTCAATATAAGGCATGGTACATGATTAGAAGAGAACTTACCTGAGTGGCCCTCATGGTATAGATGTCTGGATGATAATCTTCATTGAACAAATCAGGAAATCTTTCTCTAATCCTGATTCCAAGATCATACAATTCATCTTCTCCTTTGCCAATCAATTCTCCACCCTTCAATTTTCCCCTCCAAGGAGACTTCCATCCTCGTAACCAAGCAGGAACTTTCTCTAGAGACAAATGATTCTCTTCAACCTCCCTCACAAGTACCTCCAAATGATCAGCCAATCTGTCCAACTCTCCCATCCGTTTTTTTGTAGGAGCACGAGTACCATGCCTTGCCTGGGACAAAACTGGATTAGTTTTTTTTTTTTTTTTTTTGGTCATCCTGGTTTATGATAAAATGACTAATTTTTATCTTACCACTCATTAATTCAATTACTGTTTGCTAAAATAAAACATCATAATGCCTTAACTAAGAAGGTACCTTGCCAACCAAAATATCTCGCCTCATTATTACTTTTACTTATAACTACATATCCATTTTTCTTGTCACCTATCATATGCCACTGATGACTCACAGTGCTGAAAGACACAACCCTAACTTAATGCATTAGCCAAGGCCATCATATTTTTACACTCTTAAAGCGGGTCAGGCTACAGTAATAAGAATTTGTGCTCACATTAGTATAATTTATACTCGTAACTTCATTATTTATGATTCTATGGTGATTGTGACCAGCATTTATATAACTTCAAAAATGTAACGATCAAACTGGAAAACCAAACCAAACCAATAGATATGCACCAGGACTCAAAAATTAATTTTAGAAGTGAAGTTACCACAAGGTTTAAGTGTATAGGAGTGCATCCATCAGGAATTTCAGAAGGTACGAAGTTTTTATCGGCAACATCTTTTACCACGTTGTATCTGCACATAAAATTAAAAACAATTAATGAAAAAAACAATTACACAAAACCTAGCAGTCCGCCCATTTATTTTGAATAATGACACCAACCATGTACCTCCACGGAGATTAGTTATTGGCTTAAATTACATGATTTTCTATAGCTATATTATTCATAAATTCAAGCAGCTCCACTCATTTCTTTCACAAAATATTTTGTTCAAACTTCCTTAAAAACAAAAGCAACATGATATCAGAATCCATATTTTTAACACATTTCTTTTTCTCATTATTCTCCGAAATCAGACAGACGTAAAGTCACGCACAAGAATCAGATTAAAGCTTAATTTGGTAAAATTAAACTGTAAGAACAATAAATAAAAAAATTGTAAGAACAATAAATAAAAAAAAATCACAATTCGATACTCGAGATACATATTCATGCCTTTCAAATTCTATGATCTAGAAAATACCTTGTAACAGTAGAGAGGTGTTGCCGAACATCGAAGCCTTGAACGACATCGTTTAATTGCGATAACAAAATTAAGAACAGAATCAACATAGAAGAAGCCATGGCTATCTTCATCGTTGCTCCGTCTAGTCTGCTTTTGCTTTTGATGCTGTAGAACTCTCTGAGCAGGCTCTCTAACGAAGAACAGGATCTGGTACGACGTGGTTTACGGGATCGATGTGAGGAGCGCTTGATTGACGGTCGATTTAAGGGGAGAGCCCACGGTTATATGCATAAATTTCCACTTTGACGATGACGCCACCTGGCTTCTGCTAGACTGCCGCGTGGCATTATTTGGATAAATTTAAGGGCCTAAAGTTTAGCGACTATTATTTTCTCACCCTTGATTTTTCATAAAAATATTTTCCCACCCATCGTTGTATCCGTTAGGGAAATCTGTTATCTGATAAGGGTACGGTGACGGAAAAGATGATAATACCTTTTCCTACTTGACTCTTAATTTTTAGGAAAATAAGAGAGACACCGAAAGTAGTGCACCAAATCTGTACACTGAATGACGTAGTTCAATCCTGATCGTCGATTAATTATAACTGAATATTAATCGACGGTCAGGATTAAACCATATCATTCGGTGCACATATTCGGTGCACTACTCTCGGTGACTGTAACATTACTCTAATTTTTAATGATTTAATCTCATGTCAATAGAGGCAATTACAAGTCTACCCACTTTACAATAATAAAATCACCAATATTTTCTCACCCTTCGCACGAATTTGGACACCATGTTCAACCTAACCATGCATCTCCTCAAGGCCTTCTCCAAATTGGAAACAATTCAATATCTGTTGTCAAACCACAGAATGTCGGTATTAGAAGGTAAATAAATACAGACCTAGAGAGAGATGGTTGAACTTATAGTTATTGTTCACTACATGATTTGTGCGGTCAGTAGCCACTGCCGTTGTGCGACCATGCTCGTTGGTGAAGGACGAGCTTAGTTGCTCGTAGAAAACTGCCGCTACCAATTACATCAAGCTATTGAAGCCATCATACACAATCAACCTACAATCGTCAGAAATCTCAAACAATCGTAACCCAACTTCGATCATCAATCAATCATCAAAATAGTAATAATCCACAAAGAAATTGCAAAATCTCCAGGGTAGCTTACAATTGTGTAAAGGAGCGAATGGGTTTTGCTTTGTTCGTTTTCTTTTTCTTCAAGTAGAGAATGAAAAAAAGAGATGAAGGATAGTTTATGAAAAATATAATTAAAGAAGAAAGAATTTGAGGCTGAGTTGTTGGTGGCGTCTAATATTTATTTTCGGATTTTCTCTACTACATTGACTTGTTTGGTGGTGTTCATTGAGGTGATAAAGTTATATTTTAATTGTTCAATATTTAAGCTTTTAGTGAAGTGACTTTATTGCCCTTTTGGCGTTAAAGTTAACGGTTTTCGTTGATCGTGGGTGGGAAAGTTACATTCACCAAACTTTGGGTGAAAAAATGTCATCCAGCCATTTATTAAAGTCCCTACAATGTCTACTTAATTTAAAACTTATTTTATGGACACCTTTATCTTGAAAAAGTTCAAGTCTCGTTTTCAAGAGCATTGCAATCTGAACACAATCATATCAATCGCATCCTTTCGGTATATCAAAATTTTCCTTACATTTCTCCCCTTCTAAAATATCATATGAATCGTGGAGTTTACATATACAAGATACTTCATTTCCAATAAATTATCACATTAAACCCTAAAGTTTACATTTACATCCAAAAATAAAAAAAAATTATGAGCCCTATAATTTTACAGGTTTACCAAATACTTCCTTTTACCTAAATTACACCCTGTACTATTACATGTTTCTAATTACGTACTTTTACCCTAAAATAATCAATTAGGTCATTATACTTTGGCAGGCTTCAATACGTATTCATACAAAAAATATCATTTTCACCTTATACTTCTGACAGTTTATCAAATACGTCCTTTTACTCTAAAATATCATTTAGTCCCCACACTATTTCAGGCAACTTTTAGTCCCCAATACTTTACAGCTAATCAAATAAGTCCTTTCACTCTAAAATAATTGGACCGCCACAACTTTTACCGGTTGTCACAGACATACTTTAATGGTATAACCATTAAATATCATTTTGACCCCTCAACATTTACAGGTTAAAATACATTCTTTCACACTCAAATATTTTTTGGACCCGACGACTTTTAAACGCTATAAATAAATCCTTTTACCCTTAAATTGTCTTTTGGACAACTCGAGTTTTACATGTTATCAAATGCATCCTTTTACCCTTATATCATTTCGTCCCCTCGACTTTTACAGGTTATCAAATACATGCTTTTTCCCTTATATATTATTTGGACCCCTCAACGTTTTGGGCTCATTAATTCTAAAATAGCCCATTAAAACTTTCAGAATTCATCAATCACCATTCGAGTTCTCCACCCTTCAATTTTCCCCTCCAAGGAGACTTCCATCCTCGTAACCAAGCAGGAACTTTCTCTAGAGACAAATGATTCTCTTCAACCTCCCTCACAAGTACCTCCAAATGATCAGCCAATCTGTCCAACTCTCCCATCCGTTTTTTTGTAGGAGCACGAGTACCATGCCTTGCCTGGGACAAAACTGGATTAGTTTTTTTTTTTTTTTTTTTGGTCATCCTGGTTTATGATAAAATGACTAATTTTTATCTTACCACTCATTAATTCAATTACTGTTTGCTAAAATAAAACATCATAATGCCTTAACTAAGAAGGTACCTTGCCAACCAAAATATCTCGCCTCATTATTACTTTTACTTATAACTACATATCCATTTTTCTTGTCACCTATCATATGCCACTGATGACTCACAGTGCTGAAAGACACAACCCTAACTTAATGCATTAGCCAAGGCCATCATATTTTTACACTCTTAAAGCGGGTCAGGCTACAGTAATAAGAATTTGTGCTCACATTAGTATAATTTATACTCGTAACTTCATTATTTATGATTCTATGGTGATTGTGACCAGCATTTATATAACTTCAAAAATGTAACGATCAAACTGGAAAACCAAACCAAACCAATAGATATGCACCAGGACTCAAAAATTAATTTTAGAAGTGAAGTTACCACAAGGTTTAAGTGTATAGGAGTGCATCCATCAGGAATTTCAGAAGGTACGAAGTTTTTATCGGCAACATCTTTTACCACGTTGTATCTGCACATAAAATTAAAAACAATTAATGAAAAAAACAATTACACAAAACCTAGCAGTCCGCCCATTTATTTTGAATAATGACACCAACCATGTACCTCCACGGAGATTAGTTATTGGCTTAAATTACATGATTTTCTATAGCTATATTATTCATAAATTCAAGCAGCTCCACTCATTTCTTTCACAAAATATTTTGTTCAAACTTCCTTAAAAACAAAAGCAACATGATATCAGAATCCATATTTTTAACACATTTCTTTTTCTCATTATTCTCCGAAATCAGACAGACGTAAAGTCACGCACAAGAATCAGATTAAAGCTTAATTTGGTAAAATTAAACTGTAAGAACAATAAATAAAAAAATTGTAAGAACAATAAATAAAAAAAAATCACAATTCGATACTCGAGATACATATTCATGCATTTCAAATTCTATGATCTAGAAAATACCTTGTAACAGTAGAGAGGTGTTGCCGAACATCGAAGCCTTGAACGACATCGTTTAATTGCGATAACAAAATTAAGAACAGAATCAACATAGAAGAAGCCATGGCTATCTTCATCGTTGCTCCGTCTAGTCTGCTTTTGCTTTTGATGCTGTAGAACTCTCTGAGCAGGCTCTCTAACGAAGAACAGGATCTGGTACGACGTGGTTTACGGGATCGATGTGAGGAGCGCTTGATTGACGGTCGATTTAAGAGGAGAGCCCACGGTCATATGCATAAATTTCCACTTTGACGATGACGCCACCTGGCTTCTGCTAGACTGCCGCGTGGCATTATTTGGATTAATTTTTAAGGGCCCAAAGTTTAGCGAATATAACTTTCTCAACCTTGATTTTTCATAAAAATATTTTCCCACCCATCGTTATATCCGTTAGGGAAATCTATTATCTGAAAAGGGTACGGTGACGGAAAAGATGAAAATACATTTTCCTACTTGACTTCTTAATTTTTGATGATTTAATCTCATGTCAATAGAGGCAATCACAAGTCTACCCACTTTACAGTAATAAAATCACCAATATTTTCTCTCCCTTCGCACGAATTTGGACACCATGTTCAACCTAACCATGCATCTCTTCAAGGCCTTCTCCAAATTGGAAACCATTCAATATCTCTCGTCAAACCGCAGAAGGTCGGTCGTAGAAGGTAAATAAATATAAACCCAGAGAGAGATGGTTGAACTTGTAGTTGTTGTGCACTACGTGATTTGTGCGGTCAATAGCCACTATCGTAGTGTGACCATGCTCGTTGGTGAAGTACGAGCTCAGTTGCTCGTAGAAAACTGCCGCTACCAATTACATCAAGCCGTTGAAGCTGCCATACACAATCAACCTATAATCGTCAGAATCTCAAACAATCACAACTCAACTTCGATCATCAATCAATCATCAAAATAGTAATAATCCACAAAGAAATTGCAAAATCTCCAGGGTAGCTTACAGTTGTGTAAAGGAGAGAATGGGTTTTGTTTTGTTCGTTTTCTTTTTCTTCAAGTAGAGAATGAGAAAAAGAGATGGAGGATAGTTTATGAAAAATATAATTAAAGAAGAAAGAATTTGAGGCTGAGTTGTTGATGGCGTCTAATATTCATTTTCGGATATTTTCTACTACATTGACTTGTTTGATGGTGTTCATTGAGGTGATAAAATTATATTTGAATTGTTTAATATTTAAGCTTTCAGTGAAGTGACTTTATTGCCCTTTTGGAGTTAAAGTTAACGGTTTTCGTTGATCGTGGGTGGGAAAGTTACGTTCACCAAACTTTGGGTGAAAAAATGTCATCTAGCTACATTAAAGTCTCTACAATGTCTGCTTTAATTTAAAATTTATTTTATGGACACCTTTATCTTGAAAATGTTCAAATCTCGTTTTCAAGAACATTGCAATCTGAACACAATCATATCAATTGCATCCTTTCGGTGTATCAAAATTTTCCTTACATTTCTTCCGTTCTAAAATATCATATGAACCATGGAGTTTACATATACTTCATTTCCAATAAATTATCACATTAAACAAGTTTACATTTACATCCAAAAAAATAAAAAAATTATGAGCCCTATAATTTTACAGGTTACAAAATACTTCCTTTATCCTAAGTTACACCCTATGGTATTACGTGTTTCTAATTACGTACTTTTACCTAAAATAATCAATTAGGTCAGTATACTTTTACAGGCTTCAATAAGTATTCATACAAAAAATATCATTTTCACCTTATACTTCGACAATTTATCGAATACGTCCTTTTACTCTAAAATATCATTTAGACCCTACACTATTTTAGGCATTTTTAGTCCCCAATACTTTACAGCTAATCAAATAAGTCCTTTCACTCTAAAATAATTGGACCGCCACAACTTTTACCGGTTGTCACAGACATAATTTAATGGTTTAACCATTAAATATCATTTTGACCCCTCAACATTTACAGGTTAAAATACATTCTTTCACACTCAAATATTTTTTGGACCCGACGACTTTTAAACGTTATAAATAAATCCTTTTACCCTTAAATTGTCTTTTGGACAACTCGAGTTTTACATGTTATCAAATGCATCCTTTTACCGTTAAATTTTTTGGTTCCCTCGACTTTTACAGGTTATCAAATACATGCTTTTTCACTTACAAATTTTTTGGACCCCTCAACGTTTTCGGCTCATTAATTCCAAAATAGCCCATTAAACTTTCAGAATTGTAAAATATAGAGCTGTCTAGAAAGCAAAGCACAAGCAGAGAATCCACGCATATATTCCGGACAATCTTATTAGATAATAAGAAAGCAAAATGAACAAGGAATTATAATTTCGTGGAATGATCCCATGTGGATCAGACAAAAACTAGAACTTAAAAAATGAGGTTCAAGCAAAATGGAACTTAATTTATGTGTGTATATTTTTTTAAGATGTCTATTTAATTATAGATGCTTTAAAGCATGATGTAATTGCCTTGAATACGGACCTCTAATGTCAGTTGTGGGTCTGGGCCTGCAAGAGGACTGCCACACCGTGGAAATTGTCCCGGGATTTGCGGCCTAAACAGATGAGACACATAATTTTGGGGAAAAAAAAAAAAGAAAAATGACTATGATTGGCTTGTATCTTCGGGGCCACCTTATGGGTTCCTTTCAGGCAGGTGATGGTGGGCTTGTCAAATATGGCCAATACTAATTTCTTGGACCATTTGACGGGAGGGACTAAGATTAATCCGGTCCCATTAAAGGGGACCGGGAGCCCACGAATAAATTTGACTCAAAAAAATTTCACAACCCTGAATTTGTTGCCCCATTTCTACATAAAATAAAATCAACAGCAATATTGTAAATATCACCCAAATACTTATAGAGAAAAACTAATTATTCAAAATGTGTTTGTCACCAAACTTTAACTAAGATATGCCTGAAAATATCCCACATGCATTCATCTATCAACAATATAAGTTTTCTCACTAGCTGCATGCCCAACTTCTCTAAACTGAGAACTAGCAATAGAAAAGCTCGCATAGAACAATCCTCCAAAATGGCAGCCAGGTAACACGCGAGGTGTCTACATCATCAAGCAACAACTTCTGCCTCCTCAAGGAGCATTTGATCGAAGTGCCAAACTCCTGAGAGTCCCACCATAATAATCAGTTAGTTTATGCATAGAAAGTTGATCTGAACATTAAATTAAGATGAAGGGAAACTGTCCAAAAGTGAAATAAGAATTTTTGGTTCATACCGTGTCCCTTGCCCACTCTTCTCAGTTGAGCAACATATTCTGAGATCTTTTTTATGGCTTCTATCTACAGAAGGAAACAATTGAAAGGCCAAATCAATATCATACAGCATTCTTTCTAAGCCAAAAAAGCAAATCCTTAGCACAGAATGGAAGGTAGAAGTTGTATTTTACCTGCTCGGATAAAAACTTGCTTTCAACAAAATCTGCCAGCTGCACATCATGGTGTTGGTTCGCTACCTATTGACCCAACATAAAAGCACAGGAAATGAGTGATATCCATGGCCAGCAATATTTAAAACTTCTTCAGCATTTTTAAACACAATGCTTCACTGTATGAAACAAGGGCTTTGATCCTATTTACTATGTTATAAAAAAAGTTGCACAGTATCAAGTCTAGATATGGTTAACCTTGTGCAAGTTGAGGAGCTTCTCATTTGTTAGCTTCTCCAAGGACAATGTAAGCTCCATAGCTGAATCAGGAAAACAGAAACAATTAGGACCAACAAGTTAAATTAAACATGCACAAGTGCATCAAAATTGGAATTCATCGAGGTTAAAAAGTTACACATATTCACTTGATATCACCCAAGTAAAAAAGAACTACTTAATTTGGTTCTTGGCAAGGCATCACAAATTGCCTGTCCTATTATACAGATGTAACATTTCATAAATACCCATTAGTCCCTTGAAAAAAAAAAAATACCAACGGCAGCCCTATAAGATGTATGACTTTTAATAGAAATTGGCACAATTCAGCTCAAAAAAATAGTTATAACATGAGATATTAATGACTTGTCAGACGATATGCAGCTCCTTCATGCCATATGCATGATAATATTTGACTAAAGTAAAAGCATATAAATGCTTCAAGCTCATTGCTCCAGATTTGAGTCATTAACTTAATTATACAGAACAGCAAATTAAGTTAAACGTAAATATAGTATCATAAAACGCTATGTTTGGACTGCTAAACCTCACCATACAAAGCGTCTCCCTTCTCTGCATGATCAAACTCTGTGAGTGGCATCAATATTGACGCCAGCTTCACTTTTCCACCGCGTTTGTTCTAATCATTACAAGACAAATGAAAATTAGCCAAACAGTCTCTCAGGTTAACGCAAACCATAAATTTTGATACAAATCTAAATACGCTGTGAATCAAACACCTGATATTCCATAAATTTCTCAGCGTGTTCTCGTTCTTCAATACTCGATTCCTTGAAAAACCTAACACGTCCCAAACAAAAACAAATAAGCTTCAATCAAAATGACAAACAATAAAAATATTAAAGAACTAGGAGATTTTTTAGAAGGAATTACTTAGCAAGGCCCCTGAGTGCCACGTTGTCACGATCAAAATAAGCAAACATGGCGTGGTACACATACGACACATTGTACTCCACACTGTTAGATAAATAATGGCATAAGAAATTTACAAAATACATCACGTTATTGGAATAAAATTATAGAAAATATTTGAACATAAATGAATATAAAATTAAGAAAAAATTGAAACAAACTTGATCTGTTCATTGACTGCGGCCTCGCAGTGCTCGTGGTACTTTTGTCTAGCAAGAGAAACTTGAGGTACACTTGGCACCAAATCGAGTTCCTTCTTCACCTCTTCAAACGGCTCAAAAACGACACCGGTTAACGGACTGTTGCTAGCGCCTTTTGATGCACAAACGATAACGCCAGCTCCATTTTTGGCCCGAAGACTGGAGTTCAAATGAAGGCTAGAGGAAGAAACAGAGGAGGACAGAGGATTCAGAAGCTCCTTGTGTGGATTCAAGAGCGAGAAAGCCGGAGCTGCTTTGAGTAACATGTTTTTGAAGAGAGAAAGGCAGAGTGATAGAAAGAGAGAAAACAAATTATTGGAAGAACAGAGGAAATGAAACGGTGCTGTGTGGTGATGATAGGAAGGGAACATAACTGAAGGCGGCTAGGGATGGGGTGGGCCATTGAATGGTACGACACGTGGACGGCAAAGATTGAGAATGAGAAGTGGGCGCGTGGCGTCCTCGTGGTAAGTTACAAGAGATGGTTCTGGTCGAAGCGATGATATGGAATCTCGAGGGCAAATATGGTATTTTGAGTCGTTCGTGGGAAATCGTGATACAAATCATATTATGATTGACTTACCAAAAATAAAACATCTTGATTTACTTTTTTATTTCTTTTTAAGTATTAGTATTATAATTGTTTGGCTGAAAGTGGTCAGAAAGAAAGCCCCTTTTTCGGTTTTTTATCTGTCACCTCGTTGTACATCTCTTTAATTACTATATTTACTAAATTATTTTTTCATTTTATTACTATATATTACCTTGCCGATAAATAGTGTTTTTATCAGTAAAACTATATATATATATATATATATATATATATTTGGATAAACATTAGCCAATTTCGAATAAATAATTAGCCAAAACAGTGGTCAACATTCAGTATTGTGCATTTATTGGATGTAAAAAAGGGTAATACTTTATAGTTTTAAAAGACATTTTCCCCCGTGAGGTTTGGGGTAAGTACACAGTAACCCAGTAGAATGTTTTACGAACACATTTACCCCTATTATTTGTACCTGAATCTCTGACACTTATTTTTGTTTGGAAAGACTATATTGTCCTTTTTGTCTTTCCCATCTTTTTCTCCATAATTATCTTTTACTGTTCTTCAACGTCACAACACCGGATTCTTACTTTAATCGATGCCAACTAAAACTCAAATTACCCCACATCACCTTGGAGCAAAATAATCAAACATCACTTTAATATTTGGAAAACAAAATATATATTCATCCAAGATACCGAAAGCCACCACCCTCCAACTCCGCTTGTCGATACGATAAACGAGTTTGTATAGAACTTAAGCGTAAAAACTAGCTTAAAAAAGAAAGAAGTCCCACTATATATATATACTCCGTCATTAACAACTTATCAAATTAGTGACGTCAAATAAATATAATTTCTAACATTTTTTTTTTCATGCTCGACATATATAATTAGGGTCTAAACCCCAACATTACCCTAAATAAATGTAACTCTAATATCACGATAAACGAGTTTAGTTGAACTCATCATTTAAAGTTAGCTTAACGAAGAAGGAAGTCCAATTATATATATACACTATAACAACTTATCAAATTGACAATGTGATAAAATTTCAAACACAATTTATAAATTCTCTAGAGAAGTTTGGCCCAAAAAACCCACTCCAAGGCCTTCACGCATGCATGAGACAAATTCAAAAAACCTCTACCATGGTCCATGAGATCATTGTTTTAAAAACCGGACAGCTCCTTAACCTGGTCAAAGGGTCGGTTCGCAGGTTGATCGGTCCAATCCATTTGACCAATCGGTCTGATCGCTATATAGCAGTCACATCTTTAAACAATTTTATTAATTGTTTTAAGTTTGAAAACCAGCAAATACATGTAGGGGTGGGATAATCCGGTTAACAGAACCAGATTATCAAAACCGAAAATCAAACTGGTTGCAAACCGAACTGAATATTCGGTTCCGTTACCAGTTAACCAGTTTTTTAACTGATTTTCTTCCTCTTCGTTTAACCAATTACGCCAACCTGAACAACACCTAAGCCACAACCAGATTTTCTCAAATAGACAAAATGAAAATTTGTTTCCTCAGACGACAGTGAAGGAAGCAGTGACTTTGGGATTAGCAGAGGTTTCTCTCTCTGTCGTCCAATCAGATCTCCTTTCTTTTATTTTATTTATTGATTGGAGTTGGATCTATTGCTGAATTAGAAGATGTTGGTGGTGGAGCAGGGGAGCAGCTTGAGGTTGAGGATGCTGCTGAATTGTCGGCAAAATGGATACTGAATGGTGTTACTGGACTGTCGACAAAATGGATGCTGAATGGTGCTGCTAGATTGGCAAAATGGATGCTGAATTGTGCTGCTGGATTGTCGGCGAAACGCGAAATCGAAATGGTGCTGTTGTTGGACTGTCGGTGAAACACGAATGGATGCTTAATGGTACTGCCGCTGGGCTATCGGCGAAACAAGAAATGGATGCTGTATGGTGCTACAGTTGCTGCTACTGGACTGTCAACTTATTGGGTGGAGCTGCTGGGTGCCGCTGTGTGGAGACTTGAAGATGGAATGTAGTGGAGTGGAGTGAGTGGAGTGGAGTCTGCCATGTGGAGGATTGCTGGAGTGTGTAATGTGTACTGTGCAGAAGATTGGAGCTTGGAGGCGGAGAAGAGAAGTGGAGATTAGAGAATATTGAAAAAAATAAGGGTTTGCTTATCAACAGTGCTAGTCTTACAAAGAAGCCTACAAAGGAGGCATACAAAGACAACTTCCACCCTTCATCTTCATCTTCATCATTCCTCTCTCTCTTTCTTTCTCTTTTTCCGTTTTTTCTTTGTTTTTTTCTTGACTTTGTAAGCTTCTTTGTAAGGATAGACTTATTCTTTGCTTATATACTCACTTAGGGTATAAGTGTATAACCAGTTCGGTTAACCGGTTTGTGTTATTTCTCCAAATCGAAAATCGAACTGGTTTGTAAAAAAACCTAATTTTCGGTTTGGTTTCTGGTTCGGTTTGATTTTCGGTTTTCTTCTCCCACCCCTAAATACATCCCTAAAATTTCCTTATAAGCCCCTATAAGTTTAAAATAAAGCAAATGTACCCGACAGATTTTATTATTAATTTTTCTTCTCTCTCCCCATTACTTCCATCTTTCTCATTTTTTTCTCTCTGCCCATCCAGCCTTTATTCCCCATCACTTTCTTCTTTCTCCTTTTTTCTCTCTCTCTACCCATCACTCCCGTCACTTTCTTCTCTCCCCTCCTCTTTCTCTTCATCTCCTCTTTTCTTTCTTCTAATCTTCTTCCTTACTCTTTCTCTTGTTTCCTCTTCTCTTTCTTCTTCCTTCCCCTTACCTTACTTCTTCTTTTTTACACTGTAGATTTTAGAGTAAGTGAAGAAGAATAGAAGATGAAAATGGAAGATGCAATTTGATTTTTTTATTCAAATGAAATGGAGAATTAAACGGTGCTGCAAATTGGTTTAGGAATTAAAAATATGAATTTTTTAGGATCAGATGCCAAAAAATAGCTAACTATTTTAAGCCATGGGCCGATCAGATCTACAATTTTGTACTGTTTTGCCGGTTTATTGTCGGTCCAGAGTGGATTGAATGATATTTCCGGTTTTATGTTAACTCGGACCAGAGTAAAGACTAGTTCCCAGTCGGGCCGAGTTTTGAAACAAAGCATGGGATGAGAGACTTGAGTGAGGTGGTTCTTGAGAGTTGACCAAAGAAATGGTAGAGAAAAAGAGAAAATAGATTGATCAATAAGAATCATAAAAAAAATTAATCTTTTTATTTTTCTTTAATCAATTAGTTTATTGACTAAAATACCCCTATCCTATCATATTTTAAAAGACATCTGTCACATCATTGGATGAATATGTTCATAAAAAATTCTACTGGGTTAGCATGATAGGTACCCCAAACCTCAGGGGGGAATGTGTCTTTAACTCATATTTTACAGAAAGTATCCAATGTTAGCTTCCCAAATGGGGACCTCAAGGGTGGTCATGTAATTAACCCATATAGACAGACATTTAACAAGGGGCACGTCACAGCAATCTTTTTCAGTTGATTATTAAATGATTTTGTAGAGACTAATTATAATTAACATTGACCTTATTATAGTGGATTAGGATAAGATGAAAATAACATACACTAAACCTCAACTAATCAAACATTATTTAGGTGGAAAGGAATTGTACTAGCACTTCTCTTTACCTTTGATAACATGTCTATTCTCTACAATTTTAACCAACCATGCTATAAGACTTCACTTCATATAAAGGTAAAATTAACATCTAAAGCAAGAATCATTACCTTAGGATGTTTTAGAATGACTTCCCACTTCAAACTACTCAAAAAGCCCTCTTGAATCCTTGAAAGATTGAAGGAAAACTTGAGAGGAATGAAGAATGAAGGAGGCGGTGGAAGAAGCATGAATGAAGGGTTCACTAAGCTTCAACCCTTTTTAGCTCAAAATATCCTCATTCATTCCTATAATGCCCTTGCTCTTTCTTGGAAATTCCACATATATCCTTTGATTCATTACAATCACACCCCCACACTAACGTATTCTCCATGAAATTTCCTTACATTTTACTCCCCACTTTTCCTACTAATTAGGGGTAGAATGGTCATTTAACCCTTATGGAAAAATATCTAGAAATCTCAATACACATTTTAGTTGGCTCGTCGCCGCGGTGAAGAAACTTCCGTCGCCCCGACGAAGAAATACAGAGCCTACACCGCCTTACTCAAGGCCAACGTCGCCGCGGCGAAGACTGCAAATCTAAAATTCCTCAAATCTCAACCAATTTCAAGGTAAACACTCAACCAACTCAATTAAAGCTGAATCAATAAACATTTAAGCAAAACAGCAAATCTTAAGTACGTACCTCAAGTGGGGTGTTACAGTTCGCAGGTTGACCGGTCCAACCGATTGGACTGATCGGTCTGACCAGTATGTAGAGTCACATCTTTAAACAATTCTATTAATTGTTATAAGTTTGAAAACCAGCAAATACATCTAGGGGTGGGATAATCCGGTTAACCGAACCGGGTTATCAAAACCGAAAACCGAATCGGTTTTTCGGTTTAGAGAAATTGTAAACTGAAAACCGGATCATTTTCAGTTAAAAACCGGTTGCAAATGGAACCGAATATTCGGTTCGGTTAACCAGTTTTTTAACTGATTTTCTTCCTCTTCATTTAACCAATTACGCCAACTTGAACAACACCTAAGCCACAACCAGATTTTCTCAAATAGACAAAACGAAAATTTGTTTCCTCGGACGACGGCGAAGGAAGCAATGACTTTGGGATTAGTGGAGGTTTCTCTCTCCGCCATTCGATCAT